TTAACTTTGTGTTGCCACAAAACAAAATGCTTGTAGCGTCGCAGGCAACTTAACTTTCCGGTTTCTTGGAAATAAAACCCCCCCCATCTAAGTTAGTGGAGAAAAAGGTGGCACAAGCTATTATATCATATTATTGTCACAACAGTCACAGTTTGCCTCAAAGAACCACCCTGGGCTTTTCAGTCTTGCCCTGTCAATTTGGGTTAGCATTTGATTGACTTTTACATCCTTTTCAATACAAAGTCAAGTGGGCAGAGCACTGGACTGCCTTCAGTACAAGCCAGTTTTGTGCAAACAGACAGGTTGACATTACAAGTTTTGTAAGCGTTTTACCAACAACTTTCCAGTGACATAAACATTCAGACTGTGATGGTTATGCCCTATCCAAACTGTCCGGGTGTAAGTGAGTGTATGTACGTGGGTCTGAGGCACTATGTATTGTCTTACTCTGCAGCACAACGGCTTTCAGTTGGTCAGAAGTCAGCATACAACTATTTCAACAAGCCACAGGCAAACATGAGTCTGAGGACTCTGAGTACAATAGAGCCTTATCTACATAGCTCGAAAGTACCACTGTCAATGACCAGTCATGATTCACAGCCAAATGATAATACTATTACTAATATACTATATCCTCCATGAATGTCATTCTGAGTAAAAGCTCAAGTCCTACCCTCACCAAACTGTCTCACTTCAACATAACATTTTCTGTAAAGGAAGCAAAATTTCTTTAGATTTGCACTGAAAAGATTACCAGTCAGCATTAATGTTTTATGAAGTTCTAAAGCATGACAAAACACAAACCCTCTTTACCTTACACAATCATGATCTGTTCAATCTCCATGAGGTTAAAGTTCTCTTGGTCCCTCAACAAAACACAAAACCCCCAACTTCAAACAGTAATTTCAACATTTTGAATTTTGAAAAACAAAAAGCAAGCAGGGAAGGAGAATCAACAAAATAACTGTTTCTTGTTGGGGGGTTTATTTTTTGGGTGTGGGTGGGGGGAATAGGGGGAGAGGTCGAGTTACCCAGCTAGTCTTTGATACATTACACAGTCTGTCTGACACAGACCATGTATCCGCCACATACAGTCAAATCCTTATTTTTCTCTCTCAAATTATTCATCACTGAAAGCAATTGGTGATCCTGTATTATGTAAAAGTAACATACTACACACAATTTTGAGCAATTTTGGTATATATAATGGGAAAGAAATTACCGTTTTCGTCCACGCTTCTGAAAATCAGTGCCCATGCACATACATGGTTATAGAGTTGGAATCGACTATGTATTATATCGTATATCAAGTTTTACAACTTTGAGGAAAACAGCCAACTTCTCATGGCCACGGAATGAGGGAGGCTGGGGTGGGGTGGGGTGGGGTGGGGGATGATGTGAGCCATAGGCATTGTCACCTCTGAAGAAAGCAATCATTACCAAGTTCTGCCACCTCTGTGCAATGTCATGGCAGACAAATAATACAAATTACTGAACTTATGCACTAAAAAGAAGCTTCAACTGCTATAACTGAAATAAAATGCCATCTACATTATTGCAGTATAAGAACTGTACATCTAACTTATTGAAATGAAAACCACAGTGATGATCAAGCGGGGGGGGGAAATGGGGGTAAACTCCAGGGATCTATGACACCAAGAACTACATAAGTTCTTCTAGTGCCAAATCTGTCTGAAACATATTGACAGCCATCTGTCAATCCCTTTCCTCGTCCTCACAAGCATCTTTCACGGCACATACTCTTATAATTTACAAACAAGCAGCCCTGGGGTATGTCTAGATCAGTCACAACTCTTGTCATTTCTACATTTTAAAAAAAAAGATGTGTTCCTCACAAATATAGTCCAGCAATTACTGCCCTTGCTCCTTCCACCCTCACTTGGGTGAACAAGCATCTTGGTCAAAAGAGGTCTGGATGTGGAAAGGGCAGTGGGGGGGGGGGGGGGGGGTGTCTTGCAAAAGGAATAAAGGCAGAATCTGAAGTGAAACTATTACTTAATTTAACATTTCCCATCATACATACAGACCCAGTTGCAAACAACAACAAGCCATATTCACACCAGCGTTTCTCTCCAGCAGAGAACACTATACAAGACTGACCACCATCACTCCAGCAACAGCACTTAGCTCTGGAAGTCCAAGCTGCCGTCACATTCACACATGACACACACAGCGGAGAAGCCACTCGACCACCTCAGTACCATCACATCTAAAAACATTACAACATTACAATAAAAATCTTGCATATGTAGACATATACTGTATAAAGTTGTCGGTGAATCCATGCACTAGATGAAGAGACGAGTCGTTCGTTCACCATACGTGAGCAGCCCTCTCTCAATTCAAATATACACACATCAACTACAGTGTGGCCCGAGACTCTCCCCAGACTGAATGCTCAGTACCAGCTACAGTTCTATACAAAGGGTAGGGAACACTATACAGGAGAGGGTGCATCAAGTTTCAAAACCATTTTCCTCAAAACTTCTTCATCAGGGAGGGCATCAAAATCCAGACAGGCAATCACTTCAAATGAAAAAGTTGTATTTTCTTTTTTTAAATCAAGTCAAATAAGCATATTCACATCAACTTGAAAACTCTATTATCGAGGCAAGAAATTTTACAGAGCCAATCAGCTCAGGTGAGCATGTCACAAAGTTGACAGACCTGTCCTCTAAGGAAAATAACAACCAAACATCTTCAGCCCAGCACAACTCAAGCCTCATCAGACCAAGCTCACATGCCTAACATAATTTCTATAAATAAATTATATAAAGGAGAGACCCGTAGAGAGCACAGAAATATTCTAAATCAAATCCATCCTGCGTACAGCATGGTTTAACATACAACTTTTTACAAACAAACCCCACAAACTAATTATTATCCCCTTTCCTAAAGCTGAAAGTGTGAAGAATATTTTTAGCCCTTAAATTCACAGAGATCAGTTATACTCAGCAGTAGCCATTGAAGACCTGCTGTTATAGACTAGCATCAATTTTACTTTACCTACCCAAGCTTTCTCTGTTGTGCTCTGGTGGTAACTTCTAACTACAACAGACAAATCTTTTCATAGACATTAACTTCTTCATGTATCTACTAAAAACTACCACCACTGAATTCTGACCCCCTGAAAAAAACACAATCCCATTCACAAATAGTTAGCCTGATGCCACTAATACTATTGCATGGTGAGAGATCACATTGTCTATACACAGTGGTGGGGCAGAGGAAAACACAGAACTTTGTATGGCAGACCAGACTTGCCATCTTCCACACTGTCAAGATATCAGATCAGGGCAAGCACAAAGAAAATGTACAGCTGTCATTCTTATGAGCCGACACAACCCAGAACCCAACATTCCGTAAATGTGTACAAGCAACTGTCCACATGAATCACAGCATGACTCTCTCTTTCTCTCACATACACACAAACACACTTACCCTAGAACAAACAAAGGCACCTTCCATACAAAAACTCTCAAACATAAGCACGTGCGCACGAACACACACACACACATTTGTTCCCAAATCTCAGACAGGTGTCTCAGAAATTCAGTAACGTCACAGCTTGCCAATCCTCCTGACCTTCTCTGTGCTAGTCCTGCGAGTCCTCAAGATGACCAATGCCGACGCCCGACGACTCCAGCAACAGAGCCACGCCTCTCTGCAGTATTTGGGGATGGAGCAAAGCTGTCTATGTGATTCTAACATGTCTCTAAAACCCCAACACCGAATGGTATGTACAGTACAAAGAAAAATGCCTAGCAGTACCAGGAGGGGGGTAATCCCATGTCCAGGTTAGTCATCAGTAGTAACAAAAAAATTAGCAGCACGCCACTCAAAAAACAACGACAAAAAACAGTGAAACAAATTTCCCATGGTAAGAGCGACTAAGTTTACTAAGCTGGAGGTAAGCATGACGCTTTGAGAAGCCAACAGCTACAAGTCACAACACAATGGCACACTACATTCTACCTTCTCAAGAGTTGAGCTTTGATCAACAGTGGTATAATAAACTCGTCCGCCTAACCCTACAACCAAGCAACACGGAACATCAGCAGAAAGGAGAGATTTAAGCATTGTCTACAACAGTGCTTGCCAACCTGGGTAAAACTGCCCACTTGTGGCTGTGTGCGATTTGGTACGGTACTGTTGGTGGACAGTATAGGATCACCCGCGTAGGGACGAGTACAGTATTATCCAATGCCCCATTTGGAAATACATAAAGGTAGGTGGTAAAAATACTTTGGCCTCTTACAGGTGGCAAAAGTGGGCGCAGGGTATGAGAAGGTTGGCAAGCACTGGTCAACATAAAAGACTTGTGCCATTGATAGGGGCAGATGCTTGGTGAACAGATTCCAGGAAAAGCCACCCAGGAATGTACCATGTAGGCTACAAGACACCACAGCATCTTTTCACATGTGGCACAAACCATTCATGTATGCGAAACTTCATCTCCTCAGTGTACACTTAACTAAACTGGACACAAGCTACGCAAACAAAAACAAAACCTAGCGGGCCAGACATAAACTTCCTGTGGGCAACAACCTCTCCTTGAGCTACATTCTCTGAAATCACAGTCAGAAGCCTGGTGGAGAGGGGCGTAACACAACCTACACAAAAACGAAAGCATGTCGTCACATGTACACAGAATTAAATCGTAAGAAAGCACCATTTTTGGGGATAAACATTTCTGAGATAATCAGCCATAAGGTTAAATAATCATCTTCCAAGTGTATATGAAGAGAGTGTAAAATATCAGAAAATGTATTCAATATGATATATTTATGTCCATCGAGAAAAATAGATTAATATCAAAAGTGTGTTCATTTCTTTGAATAAGAAGGAAGGAAGGGAAGAGAAAAGAGTATAGAAAAAAAGGAAGATAAACATGTTATTTTAATGCTGATGCCATAGTAAGACTAGCTTTGAGAACATATCTAAAAATTACATAAGCTTTGAAAAATAAAGAACATGAGTACATCTTCATCTACCACAAGGTTCTTTCCTTTTTTTCCAAGAGCAATCTTGAAAAGGGAAATAAGTCATGGTAGCATGGTTTTATTCACTGATCTGAACACATTGTTTTGGTTATAATTTGCACGTCTTAAAATGCTTCAAGGGGAGAAAAAATATGGTAGCCACTATGTAAATGGTTGAGCAGGCTTTGCACTCTTGATTCAATAACTTCAAGTGAAAGCATTCAGTACATTTTATAAAATGACTTCCATATCAAGAACAAAACCAAACTAACTACTCCTTCTCAACTTTAACCACCATCCCCATGAACATGAAAGGAAAGATTAAAAACCTGTCAAGCATGCAATCCTGAACAGTGGAATGCACCTACAGTTATAATATTGTTTAGTCTGACATTATCTCTGGGATATGAACCGGTGTCGGACAATGTTCAGTTGAGATCCAACATATTTAGTCAAATCCTTTTAAAAAATATTTTGCAAATATGGAAACATTGAACAAATTTCTGAAACGTTTATCTGTTGTAGAGCCAGCTCTAGCATGAGAAGCTGTTTCTGATATTCGTTAATCTGTAATGTGAACACACTGAAGTACGAAAGAAATTCATAAAAAGGGAGAATAACAGTAGTTGTGAATCAACCATGTCACAATGTTAATAAAAACTTTAATGTTTTTTTCCATGGCACAGCCATGATGGGACATTTTTCCCACAAACCTGTAAAACTCCTTTAAAAAACACCCCAAGAATCCCAAACATTTAGATATAGTCCTACATGAGAAGAAGTTTCTCAATATCAAACAGTGCTTTTCAAATTTTTCCGTCTAGCACAACGATGTCAATTCTGAACCTCCCTGATTTCTGGCAGTCTAGTAGTAGAAACTTGAAAAAAAAAAGGAAAAAAAAAAAGCTAGAGCTGTCTGAAGCCGAAGGAATGTAATAAGTTCATTAAGGATATTCATATAAAGATTTTTTGTTGCTTCAATCACCACCCACAGAACATCCAGCACAAAACTTTAAAAATTTGCGGCCTAGTTAATTTCCACAGGCATGTTGAATTGAATAGGAAAAAAAAAAAAAAGACGCAAAGAATACAAGAATTTGTATAGCGTAAAGAGAATTCTATATGTTCCCTAAGTCTCCCCTAGTCTGAGTGTCAAGACGGTTTTCTCTGCTCCATCCCCACTGCGATGTATGAAAACAGGCATAGGACTGCATAGCATATCTGGTCAGCCTGGGAAAAGACATTTAAATAAAACAAAACTCATTAGTTGACATCATCAGAACATGAGTACATGTTCATCTACCACAAGATTCTTTCCTTTTTTTCAAAGAGCAATATGCGCACATATGACAAAAAGACGTTCACAGCTTTCTGAAAAAAATTCTAAAAAGATCCAAATAAGACATTGCTCTATCTAAAATGACTTAGGAGTGACAGTTCATAAATAAGAAATACACTGCCAAAGAATTTCTTACAAAGTAATGATGGATTCTACATCGGAGGTGCAAATTACGCCAAATTCGCACAACAGCGACAGTTTTTCTAGACGATGCAGATAAATACAAATGCTTCAGACACCGAATGAAGGTTAACTAAAAAGAACTATAAATGGAGAGCATGTACCATTGAACTTCTTATAAAACAATTCAGCATCAATAGTAGACTTAAAAAGTCTTTTTTGTGACTCAAAATACAAAAAAGGAAATGAGATAAACCAAATCTACTGAAGGTTACGACCACATCTTTCTGTTCAATTGCTTTAAAAAAAGCAGGATTTCATACTTTCATCTCTTCTTTATCAGATCTTTTTTCTGTCTACATCTCACATCTGTGGATCAACTTTCCATTTAATGCCATCGTGTATATATATATATATATATATATATATATATATATATATATATATGAGAGAAAAATCAAATACGAATTTGCTTATTTCAAAACCAAGCAAGAGTTTTAGAGAATTGATTATATGCAACAATAAAATGAGCTATTTTCTCTTTGTATTCTGAGCACTTTACAGTACAGTAAGAATATAAATCATGATGCCATCAGGCTAACTTTGGAGCAATAATTAACACTCTATAATATAATTTTTACTCAAAATTATTCAAAATGTGTTTTAAAAAACAAAGCACCAAAACGAGTGTGGAACTGCAAACCCCTCAAAAAAGTGAATTTAAGAACCGGAAGTGAAACAAAGTAACAAAGAATTAAAAAATCACTAATGGTGGATATCTCCAATTCAAACAGTTCCTCTGTGTTAAGAAATTAAAAGGTTTTCCTACAAAGACAACACGACCTCATCACATCCCAGAGTCCCAGTGACAGGAAGGACAATGAACAGTTAGTACACAAGCCAGACCACGGTGGGGAGTTAAATCTAGTCAAATGTGGGAAAAATAATAAACTTGAGAATAAAAACAGTACTCAGTTTAAAATAAAATTTACCTTTTTTTTTTTAGTCCCTCATGGTTTCATAACTATTCCCTTGACCAACCTGTTCATTTTCAGCCACTATTCTTATCACCTGGAGGACTTCCTATTACCTCATAAACGATGGGCCCATAAGTACATAACAGAATAAATAAAATAAAAAATAAAAAAACTCAGGTAAATCAAATGAGTAAATGATTGACTGGTTGGGTTAGATATAACCTAATCAAATGTTACCCAATTCAGTTTCGTTTACTTTAAAACTTAATTCCTAAAACTGCTAATGATGGAATCCACTGTGGGTTTCATAACATCACTTCAGAAATAACAGAGCATTATAATATATATAATATTGTTTAGGTAATTTTTGTAACGTATCCTATAAGAACAATATAAAGTGATATCCATCATCCATATGATTGGCTGTGGTGAGCAATAATATAACCTAAGACTAGATGAGCACAGACAATGAAAATATTCAGCAGCAGCAGCACATCACTAAAATACCATCAGGAGCCAAATGAATTACAGAACTAGCAGCTCAGATGTAGGGATAGGGGAGGGGTGGGGGGTGGGGGGGGGGGGGATTAGGGGAAGAGGCTCCATGATCAGTGTTAACAAACAGACTCGCTTCAAATTCTGAAAGATCGGCACATGTCATGGGACTGATTAGGCCGATGTCCATAAAAAATGCCGGTTGCAGCAAATACAGGAAGTTGATGGCAAGACAGAAGACACGGGCTCTTCCATCAGCGCTAACTAGTCTATTTCTATTGGCAAAAGAACATCTTGCAAAATTGAGGACTGAGACTTTACAAACTAGACAAACTATAACTATAACTAACATGCTATAAACAAATTATGGATGTTGGTACAAAATCTGTAGTAGTTTTAACGCTTCCATACCTCTATATATCAGTTTGTTTCCAGACATCAAACAATTATTTTTCTTTCATTAATTAGAAAACAGTCGAACCTTCAAGCATATTTATTGCTTCCAACGAGAAAACATTAGGGGAGGGAGAGGGAAGGGGAGGGTAAGGGACAGGAAAAGAGAATTGCTATATCAGAGTGATTAGAGAGGGAGAGAAGGACCCAATGAAGCACATTTGTCATGTCATACTTGAATCCTTCAAAGGACATTTGTTCATCCACTCTGAGCAGTACAAGGATAATAGAAAATGTTCATAAGAAAGTTTGCTGCCATTCAAATTTACAAAATAAAACAAGCCATAGCTCTGTACTTTTAGAAAAACATTTTAAATAGTAATTGTGGAAGTTTTAAATCCCCATTGACACTATATCGAACATTTAGAGAGCGGGCTTCTTCGATCCTGCCTGCCAGGGTCAACCCGGGCTGAGAAGGACACGATATCCCCGCAGAAAGCTGGAGATACCTGATGCGCCTTATCACTATACCACAGATACTCATTCAATTTTTAACCGGTTTATAATACTAATATCTTTACAGAGCATTTACCATACAGTCCTTACATCCGTGCTGACTTTCAAATCATACTGCAAACATTATTTTTTACTTTTTATGTCTCTTAGACTCACAGACAATTAATATTTTCCTTTATGTATAGGAAACAAAATTGTTGTGCACAAGTTTGGGGCCATTTACCGACATCTGACCCCAGAAAGAAAACAACAGGGACATAGAACAAAAGAAAAACTTTGGGACGCGAGAAGGGGAAAAAAAGGTAATCAACAGAGAAAAAGTTAATTTTTGGGGGGCCTCTAACACACACAAAAGTGTAATCAAGTATGACCTACAAGTACAAGGCTAAATATTGCATGCAGCTACATTCAAGCTTCACTTAACCAGTCTCTGAATAGTGCACAAAGCATTCAACAGATAGAAACCTGGTCTAAGTCTTAAAGTCTGAGGCTGATTGGTAGCGGCATTGTCACAGTTGCACATGAGGAAGGTGCTCACCTACAGGTACAAGCAAGCATAACTGAGCTAGCCAGATACAGCTGCAGTACCCGTTATTGGGTAGCGAATTTCAAATGAAGATGTTTGAATATTTCGTAGAACAGAAATGAAGCTCAATAGTGGGTGATATAAAAAACCACAGGAGTACTTATCACAAGTGGTATCAAATATTACAGGAAATTGTAAATTTTTTACTGTACACACAGATGTACTACTTTAAGGGGCCACATCAGTGTATTTTTGGCTGTGAAGCATAAATATGGCCTCTAAAATGTCGCAAATCAATTGGAAGACGGGAGTGATAGTAAAATAAATTCCAAGAAAAAAAAACAACTGATGGACTATTTTCAAAGAGTTGGGTAACTTATTCTTCTTAATGTTGGTGCGGACACATAACGCGAAACCATTTTATGAGGCATTTTGGAAGTTTAAATAAAATATCCTATAAAAATACGAAAATGTTACTTCACTTTTCTTCCCATAACCTTGTGAATGACGATAAAATTAAAAGGGAAAATTAGTGTAGATTAGAAAAAAAAAACAAAACAAACAAACAACAACCCACATACACAAAAAAAGCTAGAATGTAATGTCAACACTTGGTTGGAGTAGCGCTACGATCAAAGCAAAATGGGTGCAGAAAGTAAGTTATTTTAGAAGGGTATTTTCTTTAACTGGGAAGGGGGAAAAACGTATATGTTATTACTGGTTGGTTCACATCCTGCAGACTGAGCCAGTCTCACAGTGATCATGCGGTGGAACATAAGCACTATCTCGTTGGCCTGGCAGGGAGGAGGAAGACAGCAGAAAGATACTTAAAAACGCTCTAATACACTTCGGATGAATCATCAAAATGAACTTAACAAACACAACATAAAAAATAAACAATGGAACAAATGAATTTTGTGCACTAAAACAAACAACAAAATACTGTTTACTCCTACTACGATGGATCACACATAAAACAAGACTCAAAGAACAAAATAGTGAGCACTCAAATAAACAAAATCCTGGAGAAAAAAAAATTGTTTCGTGCAATATTGAATAACACAACATAACTCACAGAAGCTAAAAAATATATTATGTAATGCCATGTGATCATTAGTTAAAGGCACAGACAACAAAGTTACCCTTTGGTCGGTATAACAAATCTAGTAATGTGACGACGGGGTAACCACACAAAACATGACAAATAGACAGTAAAACATACATCCTGTACAACAGTCTATAGTAAAGCAACATTTAAAAGATTTCAGGACAAATTTATTTGAAATAGTGTTTTAGCACTATCAAAATTGTAGAAGAAAAACCCATTTTCTCAAAACATATTTGAAAAACCTAATTTCTAATGAATGGCTTTATCTAAAATTCCCAGTTGCTGTTAACAAGATACAGAGGCATTAATGTTAAATGGCATAAACACCCACATTAACAAGTCTTCATTGGGAGTTCAATGAACAGCAGTCACGGTTGCTTGTTCATGAAATGAGCACACTAACAAAGATATGCGCTATTGATAACTGAAATGGGGTTTGGAGCTGAAAACAAAAACATCTAAAAATATATGCCCCCCCCCCCCCTTCTCCCTTACCAGACAACAATAAATAAAGCAAATACGACAACAACAATGGTTGCACAAAAACTCACCCCCCCTTCTCCCTTACCATCTGTCAAGATTACAAAAAAATGTTACTGTTACTTACACTATACAACAAATGTCCATTTAGCAAATTATCTGGTACTGCATACTACAGACTGCATCTAGTGATCTAGCATAAACTAGTCACACATTGCCAGAACAGCTTCTGACTCCTACACTGAAGGTATTTTCAACAGGGCACAAATACCCAAAAGTGTCTAGACAATGGTGTGGGTTATTCAAGGAAAATGTTGGTTTTTACAAAACCCAGATGAAGAAAGCAAAGTGAATACAAAGTGAATCAAATCCAGTAATCTACATGCCCATCAGTAGCTCATTATAAACAAATTTTAAAAAGCTACCTAAAAAGCGGCCCTTTCTCTTAGCAAGATCTTCAGTACCTGTCTTTTCTGACAACTCAAATACTTCTACTCTAACAGTCAGAAACATGTAGACTTTGTTTGGTCATAAGTTCTCTAAAAATTTATCTTGTCAGGTGGATGGTTGGTGGGTGCCATTGGTAGGTCCTTCTTTTTCCCTCTCGCTGATGTTTCTTTCTGTCTATATTGTTTTTTCCCAGACTAAATGCTAATTATCATGTAGATGTGCTCTTTTTTTCTCAAACATAATTTACCCGGCTAATGTTAGGAAAAGATACATTGTATCTTGGTCAATAATCGACGTGACTGAACAATTCAGAACTTTGTATTTTATAGCAATAGCAGCTTTACATCAGTCTTAGAACCCCATAGAGGAGGATGCGATGAATGACAACGATAGAGGGGAAGTCACAGGAACACGAAAGGATTGGGTATCAGATGAAGACAAACACAAAAAAAGACTTTTTAAAGAGACGAACAACATCAGTACTCACCATACTAGATTTGAATCTGTGTTGAATTATTTGCTTGCTTTTGGGGTCTGTTGGAAGAGGAAAAAAAGTGAAGGATGAGAGTAATTCTGATATTTACCTTAATATTCTTGATCTTAAAAAACAACAACAACCCAAGGACTATTAATTACCTCAAAAGAAACACACACAAATTATTTCTTTTCTCCTAAAAACAATAACAATCAACATAAGATAGATCAATACCTTACAGATAATAATGAGAACAAGTTTTTCGGTTTCATGAAAAGTTTGTTAAATAATTTTTCCAATTAATTCAGGTATGTTGACACCATGACATCAACATAGCTGATCCACAACTGAGTAAACACAGACACGTTTGACACACTGAAAATTCATATTAAACATTTCTTTCTTAAGAGTATTTCATCATTACTGCACAAAAATGTTTTTACTTTGGAAACTAATTATCATACATATATGTTAAAAAATAAATAAACAACAAAACATAAAATAAAATAAGCTTGATCGTGATAACTTTAAAAAATTACATGCATCACTAACAAGCAACACTACAAGGAACTGATGCTGTATACCGCAAATGTTTAAGGTCTATCAACCCTAGTACCAAATGATGCTGCGTTTTGATGTTTTAAAACAGGTAGAAAAACCTAAATTCCTTGTTTTTGTCCATCCAAATGATACATCTTCAGTCATTTCCGCAAAACTGTTACTTGCAAACTCTTGCCTCTTAATAAACTCCTCTGCAATAATACACTTATGAAAACACCTTCCCCTTATTCCACAATCTCATCTCAGCACTTGCGTAGCCAAAACTTATTTTCTTGACTTTTCAATGCAACAGTATCTAATCAATTTAGGATTAATTGGAAGAAAATTTTTCTGTTTGTTTTATTCTAATTTAGAAAATAATCCAGGCCAGAGATGATTGGATCTTTTTTGGAGGGCTAGTGACTTTTATTGGATGCCCCTCTTACTCAGCAGAGATATCACAAGAAGTCATGTTTTCACTATCATTCTTACAATCAGTAGATAAGAGCTGGCTAAAGACCTTCTGTACATTCCAGCTACCAATTTTACATATACAGCAAGTCGCTTGTCCGTGCATTACATCACATTACCACCAAAAAAAAAAATAAGGATACATAAAAATATGCTCAACACAAAATTAAAAGCCCTAGGTGAATTTGTGCATTTTGAAACAACTCCATTAGAGGCGAGGTACAAGTTTGGGAGAACAAAAACTATCTGGCCAACTAAAAGGCAGTGCTACCACATGTATTTACGACACAGGCAGGAGCAGTGATTTTCTTTGATGCAGTAAAAAAAAAACAAAAAAACACACGCCCAAAAGAAAAAGACTCAACTAAAGTGAAAAGCAACAGATTCAACAAACAAGTGAAGCCAGAAAAAAACAGAACATAAAGTGAAAGCTGAAAGCCAAAAGTCAAAACATATGAATGAGTGAGTTGACAAACAAAAAAAGGAAAAGAAAGAGAGAACACTGACAGGAAGGAGAGATGAAGACAGAAAAAAAGAACAGAAAAGAAAAGTTAGAGGAGGTGGAGTTGGGAGGAGGTGAAACAAAGAGATGAAATGAGAAGCTTCATCTAACAAAGATGTCCCAAGTGATCAACACCACATTATGATTCAAGCCACAGACCTTACAAAGGACAACATCCTTCACACCCAGGTAGAAGGACAATAAATGATAAAATCACACGGGCATCATCAAGTTATTCATTAATTTACTGATCATCTTTCAAAATTGTTTAAATATACCCACAAAAAAAAAACAGAAAAAAAAAAAACTCAACACGTTCAAGCAAGCCACCAAAATAGGGGAAAAGCTTTGAAAGAAACATCGTAAAGATGAAGTTAGATTTTTGACCATCTCCCCAAATTAAAATTAGAAGGAAGACATGTGGAAAGACAGAATGAAAAACAAAGTCGGTTTATGGAAGTGTTATCGATGAAAGAAGAAAACATGTTTTTTAAAAAAAGGCTACAATCTTACCAAATTCTTCTAGAACAAATATGCCACCTTTCTGCGTAAAACATTTCCGGATGCTTGCTAGCTCAATAAACAACTGAAAGAAAAACCAGTTGACAACCATAACATAACAGAACATAAAGAAAACTGTGACATCTACAACAACATAAAAGACACTCTCATTTCTAAGGTACAATTGATCAAAAGTAAGGCAGTAAAACCAGGTATCTGATAAACTCCATTCCTTTGAACACATGGCAATCTTACTTTAGATGCTTCGTGATTAAACAGTGCATTTTTCTACTTTACATTTCCAAGAACTTACAGTGCGACTGAGACAGATCACTGACTCCATTGGTCACTACATTCTCAATAAAGAAATCAATAGCTTAATTAATAGTACAACTTCACAATGATTTCTGAACACTAAAATAGAGCTCAGGGAAGTGTTTGTGGGGAAGGGTTGCAAAGACTATTCACACTCAAATAAGAGACAAAGAACTTTCCGGTCCACTCAACAAGATGTTTTCAGCCACACGGTCAACAAAGGAACAGAGCTTCTAAGATACCTGGCAGTGGTTCTGACTGTAGACAGGCAGGAAGAAAAGCATTATAGTAGGGCACGGAATGGAGATTGGGGGAAAGAGGGGAGGGGCAGGGTTGAGGGGGGGGGGGTGTTGAGGAGCAGTGATGTGACTCCAGTGAGCAAGGCAGACTGCATAGAGGGGCAGAGGTGGCAGGACAAGGCTGGGAGAGAAGAAGACAGACAGACACACACACACAGACACACACACACACACACATGTATGACACGCACACACACACGTACATAAAACGTCATGACGTACATGTAGCCACGCCAGGTTGCCACAGTAGCTAAGGACACTAAGTCTCACTCCACACAAACACATACCTGGGATATCTCTACTTTTTCTTCACAAATCTAAGCCAGAATGCACAGAAATAGTGAGCACTTGCTCCTTCGATACTGAGAAAATTGTCTGATCACTTCTAAATTCCATAACCAGTAAAAAACAACGCAACCTTCTAACTAATCACACCTTAAATTATGCCTTAGAAAACAGACCAAGACTCATTAGCACCTCAATTCTATTCTTTAAGTCACACTTACTCTCTTTTTGAACCACTTGGACATTAATGTTAAGGGAAAAAATTAACAGTCGTTCAGGAAAAAAACCCGCCTAAGAAGCTACAGTCAATCCTTTTTAATTTTCTTGATCTCATAACAGTTCTGCCCAAACCCAAAAAAAAAGATAAAATAAAAACCTAGTCAGAAAACAACAGGAAACTTATACTTTAATATCTGACCATGAGACGGCCAGACGGTATATCACATTATTCTCTCTATATATCAATGTTCTGATCTTGCGCTACAAGTCCCTTGTGTCGTCCACTGTCAAGGTGATCAAATGATGCTATAGGATAGTTAAAAAAGAATCGAAGGGTTCCCTGACAAAATGAGCCACGTGTCAGGCCCCCCCTCCCAAAATATAACAACCACAGCTTCCAAAGCTGAACAATTTTTAGGCTGAATTCTTCTTTTTTTAGGACTCAAACACACAGCGGTCCATGTGCAAAATGACTTCAGCTTCACAATGTGTTGTGAACACAAAGGGGAAGAGGGAAATGTGGGCCATTAAATTCTGGAGTGCTTAAACAATGTGTTGCATCAAGGAGCCCTTCAATTCCACAAATAAAGACCAAAAAAATGTCTTCCTTTTCATGGGCCTTGAGCTTTTTCACAAGTAATATCCCACCTATTTACAGCTTTGGCTGTTGAGATTGTAATGTGAGCTGTAGTTGAAGGAATATTCATGGCACTCAGCAATTCCTCAGGTATTATCAACTATAGTTTTGCTTACATACTCATGCCCTCAGTTTTTTGTAAGTTTGCACCATGTTTTCTATTGCACTATTTCTACTCACATAGTCTTTTTTTAGATTTTGACTGACTTACATGTTTTAAGAACAAGTACCAAATGGCGTGGATTTTGTAAGGCACTAAAATTCTTTGATCTTCTTTCAGACACAATGAATTGAACTGGAATGTTCCATTTTACAGTTTATTTACTGTCACCATTCCTGGATTCAATATCTTTTACGTTGTATCCACACAAAAAATGTCTGCACAAAGTTCATTATTTTCTCCTTCCTAAAATATAATTTCATGCCAGCATTCATAATTTGAAAGGAAAAGATGACTTTCTGTCCGCCTGAATACTAATTGTTTATCCTTAAAGGCAATGGAATTTTTCGAAACAGAAGTTACACAAGCATACACATATATACATTTTAAAAAAATAATTATGGCCAATAATTTAGGGTCTACATTTGTGTTAGTCATCAATTTCATCATATAGCTTTCTAAACAAGGGGCATGAATATGTAAACAAACTATAGGAACCATCCCTTTACATTGATGGGGAAATCTACCTTTTATTTAAAAAATAGTTTTGCCAAAGATTAGCACCATTTGATCAGGAGGGGAAGGGAGGAGAAAAAGCAGACAATAATCAGGGAGTGGGAGACACAGCTGAAGGTAGAGGGGGGGGGAAGGTCACAAGATGTACAGTGCAGGCTCTAGGCAATCAAATCACACAACAAGTGGCTGGCTACACAACACATGATGATGGGGAGGGGGGGAACAACAGTCTAGATGACCATAGGCATACAAAGACAATAAACACCTCTACGTCACATGCATCAATGACCCTAGACTATTCCACAGCAAGGTGGGTGGGGGTGTAAAATGTACATGACTCGAGATGTCTCGAGTCTGTTCTGACCTGGATCTCAGCACAGAAAATTATGTCAAATTCATTTATATCCTGTGGCACCGTATTGATAGCTTTTGTTCCCTCGCTATTAACAACACCCAGTGAAGAAGAATAGGTAGAGTTTTATGTATTTTAAAAAATTACAATTTGCGAAGCAGATCAACAGGAACAAGATATGAAATTATAAGCGAAAGTATTTTACTGCAAGCAGACCAGCTCTGATTTTCACAAACAGACACACTATCTTTGAGACCATTATGAGTTCATAGTATATAACATAAATTGTATATCAGACACTTACACACCTGTGAAGAAAGTTATCATCTTTGCATTCACATTTAGGGTATAAGCCAACTCATTGCAAGAGACAGTTGCACAGTCACAACAGCACAAAATAAAAATTAGTTGCTCCTTGAAAACCATTGCGCTCTTTTAATAACATTTACCTACTTAAAAATTGAAGAAAGCTGAATTTGCAGTTGGACAAACACCACAGGATGAGCTTTTTTTTGGAGCACCAAATTTTAAAAAAACAAAAAAAACAACAACTACAGAATGGTTAAATACCAGTTGCTTTTGCTTCGTTTATAGCTGAATTCAAGATGAACTATTTTGAGGTACAAAAATTTTGACTAATTTCCAAATGACTAAACTTTTTAAAGCTTTCTATAGTTTGGTTGTAGACTAAAAAATATTGTGTCATTGAAAATATTTCCCACATCGTGATAACTGCTCTGAGGGGAATGTCAAAAAATACTTTTTGTCTCTAAAGAATCTAGGTTAGAACAGCATTTAAGTATAGATAGCTAGTGCTACTATACATAAAGCTTATTAATTATCTAGTTCTCGACGAGAAACTAAAGTAGCATCCTATCCTCACTCTACCTTTACAACCCCGTAGGAGGCCTCAAATCTAGTTTCAGTACTGTCAACAGGAAAAACATGGCACACATTGCATTCTCAATCTTTGAACAAGATCTGAGCATTAAAATTTTTTTTTTATAACTTCTACCTACGTCTCAAAGCAGCAGTAGGCTATTTTCTGCCTGGCATAATGTTAAGCTGTCTACAGGAAAAAGATTTCAGAGAGGAATCCCCAGTCTTGGAGAATTACGAGACACTCGAGTTTGGAAGAAAGAAAATTCCGGAAGACCGATAGGACAGGAAAAAAAGTGAAGCTTGGGAAACTAGACACAAAGACAGCAGAACTTGTGAGGTAGTAACACAAGTGGGACAGATAATGATATAAACATCCCGACTGCAAACTGTGCAAGGAGTACAGCTAACTAGGCACACACTCACTTACAAACAAACACACACACATAAACACACACACACACACACATAGTGTCATTGCACTCATCCTACACAATTTTACCAAAAAAGAAAGAAATAAAGACTAAAACAAAAACAAATAGTCAACAAACCGAAGCCACAAAGGTACACATATATAAACATAGATATGATATAATAAATATAAACATAGATGTAAATACGTATTGTTTTTCTCTGAGACAGAGAATTAATCTCAGGGTGTGAGACTGGGGGGGCCTTTGGTTACCTCTAAGTCCTGGCGGCACAGCGGCAGAAGGCAAACAGAGGGAGATAATCGCATGAGCAAACAGGCCATAAAATGTTTGAGACGGGCTGGGATGGGGAATGAGGGTTGAGGTGGGGGGTGATGGAGTGGAATCTCTGAGAAGATACTGTTGTAGTACTAGCTGACAGAGAGGCAGGGAGAGAGAGAGAGAGACGGAGGAATAGAGACCAGGGAAGGGGTGAAGACAGGAGGCTAGAGAGACAAACATTTTCAGTCATTACGACACTAATCAAAGAAAAGAAACACAATTTTTCTCATATGCCATTGACTCAAATAGAAAACAAGAGTGAATTTTTTTTTAAAACCAAAAAACCCAGAAAAACCCAAGAGCATGATGAGCTATTTTCTAAGCACACAACTCAAACTTCTTTCCAGACAGTTTTTCTACATTATCTATTTCGCACAATACTCAGCAGTCTAAGCCTTCGTTTTTTCTGGAGACAAAAACAAAACACCACCTGCCAACCACCCCATTAAAACAGTAAACAAGAAAAAGAAACATAGCTCTGTTTGGTAGTCACCAACACTGAACATAACAGAAAAAACAAAAGACCATACCCTAGCCAACTGTGTTCACTATGCCTGTCAGTCTTTCCGTCAAAGAACAAACGAAAAGAACAAAAAGTGAGTGCAAATAAAATCAGGAGAGACGCCAGGTGAGGTGGGGGGGGGGGGTAGCAGGGAACGACAGAGGTGGGTAGGTGAGGGTAGGCTTCAAGGGGCAACAGCACAGCTCCTGGTGAATTCAGGTGATCCCATAGGATGAGAAAAATTTGTTCGCAGCCATAAAGAGCGTGGGGAATACTTCACTCAAGAAAAAAGCACTTTGCGAGCCAATATTGAATTTATTTTACGACTAAAGAGGAATTGGAGTTATTTACCCTGCAATGAAAATATTTTTATGGTCTATTCACATGCAATAATCACTTGACTCAGTGACACTTGGCTCTGTTTTTCTAATTTAGGGCAAAGTGGGACACTGGTATCTGCTGATGATTTAACCGGTATCCCTGTTCGAGCTAGTTCACATCTTCACATTTTGGTGACTTAGCCATAAGGGAAATGTGTTCAGCGTGTGAGTCTGGGGCCATACTTGTAGCACATTCAGGACTGCACCATGGGTCAACATATTACAAGGAAACGTAATGTAAAAATATAATGCTGCAAATATCCTGATAGCAAAACAAGAGCAGGAAGAAGCATAAGTGGGCTATTGCTTTTTTTACTCTTCAGGTAGCCTCTTTTCTTCCCAGCTCAGGGTTCAAACAACTATTGAGTTCCACAGCCATAACAGTTATAAACACAAGGAGAAACCTACCCCATGCCCTATAAGGCAGACCGGTTGAGTTAAGACAAACTTTGAAGGTGGACAAAAGCACATACATACAAACAAACAGTCATTCAGCAACATTAGAAAGTTCAAATGTTTTTTCAAATGAAGGAGGGCTGAGAGGGATACATCTTCCCAGCAAAAAGACCAAGACACTGGATAAAAATTCTCCCCATATGAAAATCAAACTCAGGTCTTCTGTGTGCAATGGTGAAGCGCATAACCATTACACCACAGACCATAGTGAAATAGTGTGGGTTTAACGCCCCTATCAACACGATTAGGTTATTTTTTAGTTTTAGTAGAGGTTTTACGGCGCTCGCAACTGCATAAGGTCATATGAGCGCCAGAAGATTAGAGGTGTTACAAGAGAGTAACAAACATAAAAAAGAAGAAGGGAAGATAAGGACGATTGATGTTTCATAGGAAAGAAGAAGCAAACCACACCAGAGCACCCGCCAACCACCCACTTCAGTTATTTAAGAGGCCGTCACCACAGATGCCGGTCAAAAGAAAGTATGCAGACAGAAAGACAGAATACATAAGTAAGTGGGGGGGGGGGGGTGATCCTGTTGCGGCAGATGGAACAAACTACCTGAGAGCGGTTGCACAAATAACCTACAAGGACTAAAGGAAACAATTTTACTTTGGCTGGAAGAAAATTCAATGTTGTGGACGGGTGGCAGTAGTATCAGAACTGCAACTGCCATTTAAGGCTGAGCAAAAATTAAATCAAGGACGGCGCTACAAGCTGGGTACAAATCAAGGAAGCATATCTTGCCAAAATAATGGTTTTGACCCAGCCTCAAATAGCTGTTCTACCGTCCGATACTCCAATGGGGCCAATGAGAACTATGAAATGTTTAGCAAGCATTGGATAGGATGCGTCACTACAATGAGAACAAATCAACCCCACAGTAAACCAGTGCTCTCCACTGGGTTGTCTACTCATTTTGCCTTTTCTCTTCTTAATGTTTATTTTCCCTTCAATATAGTACCATCAGATACTTGACGATCAATATACCAACCACATTTAAGCAATTACAAAGCAAACTGTACATAACCCGCACAAGAGCTTTTTAACAATAGAACAAGTAAGCCTACTCCCAGCCCCGATAAGAAAAAATATATACATTTAAAAAATGAAAAATTAAGTATTCAATCTTATTCTCTCGGTCCACACAGTCGCACTACTAGTCACACTCTCAACACTGTCCTTCAAAAAGAAAAAAACCTAAGTATATATGGCCTCCTTTTATTGAAGAAGATTTTGAAGACAAACAAATGCTTTCAAAAAAGCAAACAACCCTCTCCATTAAGTACACCACTGGGAAAAAAATGCAAAAAATACACATTTTAAAATTGGGATTTACCCCCTAAAAATTAAGGCATGCAGATGATCAAAAGGAAAATCCTATCACTAAATATAACAGAAACATTTTAGCTTAACGCAATGTGCCTGACAAACAGAACACATTAAAGCAGACACACAAACAAGATAAATTATTTCCCACACTCAAGTACAGAGACATTTCTACTCTTATTTATTGAAACCTAATGCGAAAGCCAGAGTCATAATATTAAGTCGCAGTACCTCTACCAACATCATTGCTTAAGTCCTCACCAAGAGACAAAAACCTTCTAATCTATTCAATGAAAATTAGTTCAACTTCGTAAGTCCCACAAACGCACAGACAAAAGGGCATCTTTAATTAATTTTTTTCCTTCATACATTTTACTTCCACAATCATATCTGAAACAGCCCCCATTAATCTTTTCCACAATTTTTCAGTCATCTATAGAACAAAGTTACATTGAGTTTGAAATTGAAACAGACAAATCCTGCCCAGAGTTGTCAAACAAATATTGAACAACACAAAGACAAACAAAAGAACTTTGTCTAAAGGAAGAGAGGAGAGACAAAAAGCCACCCTCTCCTCTTTATTCTTGCATCATCTCTTGTACCTTTCTCCTATTTCCTCCAATCACATCTATAACTAAACTAGGGATTTCGCAAACATCATCCCCTCCTTTTTTTCAGCATGTTCCCACAACCCTTCTTACACGCCCCCCCCCCCCCAAACAATTGTAGTCTACTCCTATTGCTTATCAACAGCAACATAACATCTCTTCTTTTACTCAACACTGCTGCCAAATTGGCACAGTTTATTAAATTCATGTCATTTGAAAATTCCAATTTGCCTCTCTTTTCCTTCAACGACTTCTCCTTTTTCAACAGCTCATTTTCAATCTACGTTCATGATTGCACCCTGGGAATCTTTTCTAGACCTTCACATAATCCACCTCGGCAGCATTTACACCATGAATGCTTCAACCAACCCTCTTTAAAAATTCCATTTTCTGACATGGAAACCAATTTGATTTATAAGAGGTGATCAAGAGAAAAAATTGTTTCCCATGCACAATAATCGGTCTCTTGTATACCACGGCCACCTTGTAAACAGTTGTCTTACATCGCCCAAGAGAACCAACGTAGAGGTATGACTTCAACACTGTACACTGCCACAAAGGATAGGTGTAACTGGATAAAGCCAGTACACAGCTGATATTGACATCTTTTGAAAAACCTGATAGAGAAAAGGGACCCTCATTTTCGTTCTCTCCGTTTATTTTCTTCTTTAATCAGATATTGCAGGTTCAGAGGTCAGACAGTTAGCCATTTGCGAAGACACTTATTTCCCCTCCTTTTCATTTCTCTTATTCCATATATGCAGCAACCATATTGCCAGACCATCATCACACGTCATGTCCGTGCGTCACCACTGTGCAAAAACAACATGCTGACCACAACCACGTGCCTACCCATGGCTAGGATTATTCCACCTACTTAAAGTGGCAACTATACAAAGTCATACGAGGAGTACTGCTTGAGTCACCAGACAACACAACGGAAGGAAAATTATGTTAAAAATATAATGAATTGCATCATCGGTGTTCACGAGAATTGCACAATGCATGATACAAAACTGGCAAGTCATACAGAATAAGAAATAACATCTTGAAATGCAGCCAACAACATAGAGAAGATTTAAAAAACGAAACTCTTTACATCGTCCACGAGGGGAAAAAAATGGGAAAGGAAAAGAAGAAAAAGAAAAGCCTTCAAAACTTTGTAGATCAGAACTTGTGAATGCAAACTCCTACTTTCATCTACCTTGTACTGCTGTAAGCGTGGAAGGAAACTCACCAGCTGAAGTTTTTAAGACAATTTTTAACCAAATACTTGGCAGTACCCACTATGTTTTCTCAGGACTTTTATCCTGTACGTTTCATTTTCCATTTCACAATGACACTTCAACCTTTCAAAGCTGTAGCATTTGGGTGAAATCTTTTTAATATCAAGACCAGTTCTTACCAATTTCAGAATTTTTCTGACTAAGCTAAAAAAAAAAATATCTTCCTGCACTGCCTTATTTCCTTCAGTGAGATAGCAAATGAGCACATTTTTTCATAAATGTAAAGGCTCTTTTAAAAGATGTCTTTAGACTGAAAGTCCACTAGACACAATTTTTAAAATAAGACTTGCTCCCAAAATCCTACGGCCAATGAATAGCAGATAATTCGACTGTACATACACTGAGCTTAAAGAAGAGAAAAAGTGATTAATGCACATATATAGAAACCTGTGAACATGTACACCAGACTGGCACCACAGCACATGAAGCTTTGCACAGATGTAGCCAATCACTCAAACAAGAAGGGGGGAAAAACAGATGCAAACAGATTGTCAATAACTCCAGCAAGGGTTGGGGGAGGGGGGCTGGGAGGTGGGGTGAGGTTCCGCTTACTGGAGGGGGGAAGGGGTGAGATAAGGAGGGGGGTGATCAACGTAGTGGCGTTAGGGCTAAGTAGATTTTCAAAAAATGTTTATGTAAACACATCGAGCAGGACCATCAACACAAGACAGAAAGGTGAAGAACAGGCATAAAAGGTATGCAAAACAGAAAAAAAAAGTTTTAAAAAACCAAAAAAAAACCCAAAACAAAACAAAAAACTGTCCAGTCCAGATCAGATTTGCAACTAATGTTGTCACCATATTCTATCTTAAATAATATTTGAAAAAAAACAAAACAATCTGCACTGCCCATAGCGACTTCCTTGCATTCAACAGATATTTAAAAAACTCTTCGCTGGTGTCGACCGCGTCTACCTCAATACTGTTTCTGATCAAACTAAACAGACAGCATTGGACACAAAACAAAGACCCTTTGAGTGAATCTGAACTTGCTTAAAGACACTGTGACAAAGAAAGGCGACCATCACGTGAGAGAAAAAAATCGCATCATCTTTGGGGGGGGGGGGGGGAGAGTACAGCCTGAATTATCGGGGAACAGGGCAACCCTCAACCAATGAGAAAAAAACATTTGGGAGGTAAAGACGCACTTTGAAAAGCATCATTAGGAGCCGGTCAAAGGGAGAGTCAGAAGGCACAGAACATATAAAAAGACTCAGTCAACCCATACAAAATAATGAGAGGCTATCAAGCAACAACGACAGAAAAAGGTTGGAGGAATGAGGGAGAGAAGAGAACTAAGAGAGAGGGGGGGGGGGAGAGAAAGGAGGATGTTGGAGGGATGGGGAGATGTTGAGTATGGTGGGTTGGAGGGAACTGCCTGATAACATATCAGTCAATTACACATGGTGAGATGTAAACGTCACAAATAAATAGTACGTCATCAGCTTTAAAGAAAAGAATGGCTACATAAAGAACAATGTAAAATGCTTTTTAAAAAATTCTTTCAAACAATTTCATCATTGATTTTTTTTTTCAAAGTCATTATATTCAAACCTCTCGTTCATCTCAACAATAATAACACAAAGCTATGCTACAGTTAAACTGCAAATTTTCTTTCTCTTCTCTTGAGACTCCTGCTCGTGCCTTAAACACAGTTGCCATCTCATTCTCATCAGACTAACAATATATATGCATGTGGTACGCTGGTACATTTTCTTCACTTTCATTGAGATTTATAAACTTCCACTGATCAGAGAACAAGAGAGGCTGCAACACACAACATAATATTACGCGTGGGTCTATTCAGCCCCGTGAGTGTCTAAAATGGGACAATAAATAACAAAAAGAAACACTCTTTTCACACAAATGAACACCCACACACAAAAACACGTACAAACACATGCGCGTGCGCCGCGCAAACACACACACACACACCTATGATCATGGTTGAAATGGGTAATAAAGTCATTTAATTCATATGTGCCTGCATATGTGTTTGAGTATGCGTGTGTGTGTGTGTGTGTGCATGTGTGAGTGTGTGTGTGTGTATGAATGTGTGTGTGTGTGTGTGTGTGTGTGTGTGTGTGTGTGTGTGTGTGTGTGTGCATGTGTATGTGTGTACATCTGTGTGTCTTCACATATGTGTAGGCACACCACAAAAGCTGATACTACTTGAGGTACACATCAGCATGTATGCACATCAGTACATATATATCTATATTACGTATTTCCACTCGAGATAGTGAGGAGCATATTATGTAAACAGCACTGTGTCTGAGAGTGTGTGTTTTATATGTGTGCGCACACACGTATTGCGCTGACGCATGGGATAACACATTCTGCAGCCCTGGGGGCGACTCACCTTGCTGTTGTGTAGCAGCAGCCCGATGCCCTCCATGCACACCTGGAGCAGGCCACCCTCCTTGGTCTTGAGGTCCTGCACCGGGAACTCCCCGCTCAACTCTGGCCCCGCTGAAATCACGAGGTGACCAAAAACAATTAATGCCCCATTATTAATATCAATAATAATAATACTAATAATAATAACAACAACAATAAGAATCATTCCATTTATATATGGCATATCCACTCTACAACATGATCTATGAATTTTACAACTACAGTCGAACCTGTGTAAGATAGAATCACAAGGGAGCCAGAAAAAAATTCCATCTTAGTCATTTTCTGTCTTAGACAGGGGAATTTAGCGGGGAGAAGGAGGGGGTTCAAAGACCCAGCCAGTGGGATCAAGCGTCGCTTGTCCGATCGGCAAGCGATCGCAAGTGTTCAAAACTTCCCACTTCTCAGCTGCTATCTTCTCTGATAATGATGTCAGTCTTATTTATCCAATTACCACCAGTGCTTGCATTTCATAGGACCACTGTTTGACCTATTAAAAACAGAAACGTTCGAACATCTCCTTTGCTTCCACCCTTAGCCGCACCCATCGGTGTAATTGACACAGTCAACCAATGCCACACCTCACTGCCATGTAACAACGATTCGAGGAACTCTTTTCTCAGCTGGCTGTACGATCAGGGTGGCAGGCATAGGTTAAACTAATTTCGCACCTTTGGCCTCTGGCTACCAATGAAAGTTTCCGTGCTGGGGCGCCACTCGTGCACTTTCTCTGGCACTCGTGATTTGACATCCACACCATCCTGACCATCTTCATCGCTCAGGGCTCACATAGACAGGGTAACATCTACCCTCAAAATGCACCCCTACTCCCCTTTCTCGCCTGGCAGCATAGCCTTAAGTTTAGAGCCGGTGGATGGTTGTTTCAAATCAGGACTGAACGGGCAAAACATTAATTTTCCGTCTTTGACAGGTAAAACCCTCGGAAGGGAGCGAATTTTTCTTTCCATTTCTGGATTGGACAAGTTTCCGTTTTATAAGGTATATAAAGATGAATATATCAAGGGGGGAGCAGAAAGACCATTAGAGACAGGTTTCTGCTTTACACAGGTTTCCGTTAAGGCAGGTTCGACTGTATTATTACCCCAGCAGATCCCCTGAAAACACTCGGAAACATTCTCAGCTTCCCAGGAAGCATACAGGGCAAGCTGCAGATTTCATGAGCTCAAACACTAACAGACTGACAGGATCATTCCCTGTCTGCAGCCAGGCACCCATTTTCACCTGGGTGAAGTATCGAGCTCCTGACAGAATTTGAACACACGACCATACGTTTGTTCGTCCAAGAGCCTAACCACAAGGCCATCAACGTCAAAAATATATAACAGTCCTAGTGTGCCTGTATCGAGTCATGAATCCACTCCAATAAAAGGTGCATATCGCAGGCAAGCTCTTCAAATTATGTATTGAGCCAAAAAAGCAAAACTTTTCAGGAGAGAGAAAAAACTGCTTCCATTCTTTAAACAATTTTACCCACGTTAATTATTTCTTCTTGTTTTTGTTTTTTTCAACATTTCGACTTTTAATTTCAATAAAGTATTTCTTGCACGAAACTGAAATGAAAAAGTTAAAACTTTAGGTTCAGTATATCAGAACAACTGGCAGACAATATATTTCACAGTATCTAGCTTATCCAGTTAAGCTGTTCAGAATTTGTCATTTCTGTCCCCGAAGACACAGCATTTCAGCTTGATAGGTGTAAGCCACTATTCTCAGACATGTCCTTCGCACAGACTGCTAAGCACCCAACTGTAGCACAATGAACAGAGGAAAATAAGGAAAAGTGCAAGGAATTCAACCCATGAAAATTGCTAGGCTGCATCCACAAAACCCATTCCAAAAGGTCACACCCACGTAGTCTGAATCCTGCAATCACACACATTTAAAGTTAGGCGATATAGCAATTATTAGAACAATTAAAACAATTGGGAAACTGACAAAACTTAGGTCTCAGCAAGTGAGTGTGGGTTTAACGCCCCTATCAACACTATTAGGTTAGATATTTAAGAGGCAGTTATGTCTCATAATTCCAAGCCTCCCCCCCCCCCCCTCATAAAATCAAAGGAAGAAATCGAAATCGAAGCACAAAGTACAGAGTATGTTAGCAAGTGTAAAGCAATCAACAACCTGGTGGTCTCCCGGTGTTTCTGCTGGCGGCTCTCTCCATGGCTTCCTTCACAGAGAAGTACAGCTCTCGACACTGAGGACACAGCAGGGAGATTCCCGGGTTACCAATGCATGATAGAAATAGAGTGGAGTTCGCTCTAATCGAAATCTGCGAGACTGACAGATTTTCTTTGGTTTAGCCGGATTTTTGGTTTAGAGTTGTGCTCAAACAGAATGGGGGAAAAAAATCAGATAAACCCGGTTCAGACTCCACTGCATACATTGTTATAAAATTCAGCTTGCAGTGGAAAATTAACAATTTTGGATACTGGTATTGCGTGAGGAGGCTAGTCTTACTTCAAACATAACTTTTTTACCTACGATCCAAAGAACCAGACCTGTTTGCGGTTAAACAAGATCACTTAGCAGGAATGCCATCCTCATCTCCTAGAGGAGGCTGAGGTGGCTATCTAAGTGGTCATGACAAGGGGTACTAGGCATAAATTTTGTTAAAAATTAAGTCAAGTTTTCTCACAAAGCAGGTCATACATGGAAAACTAGTATATACACACAATGACTAAAACTTCTCGGTCTTTGTTAAGACCTTTTCAGTTCCTTCACATATTAAGCCACATACGTGATTTCTCTTTCAAGATATCACCTTGAGACTCCCGACTTGATTTCTCTAATTGCTACACGAAAGCCTGGACAAACAAAACAAACTACGCTACAGTAGCATTGAATGTTCCCACGTGTACCTTCTTGGTGTAAAACTGGTTGAGCTGGACTTTGTCCTGGTTCTTCCTCCACAGGCACAGCACGCGTGTCTTGGGGCAGTAGGTCATGTTGACCAGCTTCTCAAACCACCAGCGGTCATGGATGGCGCCCGTCACGCTACGCAGCAACAGGCAGTCGTCGCAAACCTGAGCACCACAGGAAGGTAGGAAAAAGAAAAGTCACATCAGTGGACGAAAAGACAAAGATAGAACATGGCTGGTGGTGACCGAACCAGAAGCTACTGTTTTGTTTTGTTAGTTTATGTGGAGGGGAGATCATCAACATAGTAAGGGTGATTTAGTGCAGGGAAAACTGAGGACATATCTGAGCGTGCCTGGTGAAAGGGACCACATGACGCATTTTGAAGAATCACGTTTTTTTGCATTTTCAAATTTTAAAGATATCTTCAGTAGTTTTTGAGATACGGGTGATTTTGTAGGGCAGGGTACCGAAACAAAGTTTTGAGAAAAACAGCTTTAAAGTTTCCCCTTTGTTTCTGCTTCAAATAGATAGACCTACGCTTCCAGACGACCTGACAACACATTCGCTACTCACAAACCAACTTTAAAAAGCATTTAAGATGAAAGAACAGCTTCAAAGTGTTTATATTACGTCTTCAAAACAAATTCACCACCACTTTGAGCAAGAGTTTTCAAGAAGGTAGTGTCAATTGCCACCGAGTGATGCAGCGACACTTGATGGCGTCAATTGTCAGCGAGTAAATTGGAGCTCTTTTGTGTTTGAGAGTAGAACTAGCCTGTATGTGCTTGGTGTTCTGCGTTCGTGAAATTGCGACACACACCTTTCTCTTTTCCCCTCTGTGGGAGGGGGTGGGGGTCTCTCTCTCTCCCCTAACCCCCGTCCCCCGGATTTATTTTCTCCGATATATATTTATATATATATAAGAAGCGTATTTCTGCTTGAGTTTGTGTGCATTTGTGGCATACTTCTAGAATTGCCTGTGTTGGTTCTACACTGAAGCATAGGCTAGCCTACGTCTCGTTCAAAACATGACAAGTTGAAGTTGGTAGTTCTAGATGTTCGTCCAATGAAATTAGAAAACAAATTGACCCACTTAGACATGAGGAGCTCGAAAGGATAGCCAGGAAACAAGACTTTCATTTTACTGTAAAACAAAATTTTTCAAATGAGCTTGAATTTATGCAAAATGATATTCCTTGATAAAAATAAGTTTTCAGATAGTTTTGAATACCATTGTGCAGGTAAAAAGAAGAATTTGAGTGCAAAACATTCGGGAATTGACCTATACTATTTTCCTTTCGAACCCCAGAATGTGTGTAACTACTCGTTATATATAATGACTTATCAAGTTATGAGAGGGGGTTAGATCTAACTTATCCATGTGTTCGTAACTCATTATGAATAGAAAGCTAAAGATAGAGCGTTGTTTTTAGACTTGACACCGCGTCACTCGGTAGCAATGGACACTACCACGTCAATAAAGTCAATTGCCACTGCTTCACTCGGTGGCAATTGACCTTACCTTTCAAGAAATAGATCTCGGTTTGCGCAGGGCAGAAAAATGCGATACAAGTTTGCTCTCCAAAAAGGCGAAAGGGTATGGATGCGCAAAGCTCCGCTTCATTTACATGTTCTAGATATTCATGCGTACTACCCGCCACTAGAGAGAGGAAAGAATGACCTAAATTTTGGTATGCAATGTGATTGGGCCGACTTTATGAATGGACAAGAGAAACCATCCGCAGTGTGTACTCGGAAAACTAATTTTCACACGCATTTTTGGGGATTATGCAATATACGTCAAGTAAAAAAAAACATCTTTAAAAATGTATTTTAAAGTACAAGAAACTTAAGTCCTTTAAATATCGATATATTAAAGGTTAAAGAAATCACTTTTAATGGAACTTAGTTCTTGTAAAAAAATTCTATTTTTGACCTTTGAAGCCTGATATCTCGGTTTGAGCAAATGCCTCTTGTGGTCCCTTACACCAGGCACGCACACATATAAAGAGAGGAGAAGGATAGAAAACAAGCAGGACCGACCAGTTGTACCCTCCTATCACCCATACATAGGAGCTATGTTAATGATCCAGACCCTTTGCTGTAATGAGGACACAGGATAAGACAAGACCAGTCAAGACATGACATAGCCACATAAGGTCAGATAAATCATACTGTCAATTTATAGGAGATTTAGAGATTAACTCAATACCAAAATCTACATGCCTATATACTGGCAAGAACCACTATATTTATCGCCTAGGTTCAACTGTTCTTAAAATATAATTGTGAGCTTTAGGATTCAATACAATAATTTGGCCAAATATTTTGTAAATATCTATAATCTTCCTTTTCTCCCCACAAAAATAAGACCAGCATAAGCCTCAAATTCGTCAATCTTCATCCTGAAAGACAGCCAGGCAACCTTCCGCGTGATGCACAGTGTTGTCTCTGTATAGTCTCCTCACCTCCATGAAGAGCATGTCCCCTGTGTTGTCAGTGCCCCAGTGGACAGTGAAGGATTGCTTCTGCATCTGACGACTGCCCATCGGCTTCAAGTCAATGTCATTGCCATACTGAGGGTACAGGACGAACAACATACTTAACATGATTACATGCAGGAAACAGGACCACAAAAAAACAGTTTGAATAAGACAGCGCATATGAATACAGCTACTGAAAAAGATTTGATATACATGACAGGTCAGATCAAGATTTGATTTGAGGCAGCATCCATTAAATTAGTGAAAGCTTTGACAATTTCAAACAAAGCATGACACAGGGCTGAGTGACTTGTGTAAGAGTCACAGAATCAAACTCTGAAACATAGAACATCTATTTAAGGAGCAAGAGGTCTTTAGTTTGTTTTAGTAAGAGTTCTATGGCACTTGCAACACTATAAGGTGATGTAAGTGCTGAAGATAAAAGATGTTACTAGAGAGTAACATAAACAAAAGAAGGAGGAAGGATACAGACAATAGATGTTTGATAGGAGAGAAGGAACAAACCATACCAGAGCACCAACAAGTGTTTAGAGACTAATTTGGACAGATGAAACCACACCACATCCACCACAACTACTTTGTTTTGTTTTTTAGTAGAGGGTTTTATGGCGCTCGCAACTGCATAAGGTCATATGAGCGCCAAGGGGTGGGTGTCAGCAGAGAAGTCTTTACAGGGAATCAGACTTACTCTGCTCACTTCTCTAGCTTCAACAGCACAAGGTCTGCTTCGACTATCAAGGCACCCCGGAAATAGCGGGTCACAAGAGTGCGACAAACATACAAAAGAAGTAGAGGAAAATGACATTAGTAAGGATCAGAAAAGAAAAAGCAGCAGTTCCCTGTTGTAGATCAGGCACAGTTAGGAGCGTGACATGATGAATCAGCCCATTTACAATTCTACTGTGCTTGAAAGAGATGTGTCCCTCCTTTGGGAATGGCCTAATGACACTACAGTCAGTGGCACTGCCCCTGGGGGTAACTACTTTGTGTAAGACTCCGCCACATGCTGTTTTAAAAAGTGAAGTATAATGGAGTTTATACTGCTTTTATAGCATTAATAAGAGTTTCACAGCACTTGCAACACAATAAGGTCATAAAAGAGAAGAAAATAAGGTGTTACAAGAGATAAACATATACCAAAAAGGAGGAGGAGGAGAGATGGAGATGATAGATGTTTGATAGAAAAGAAGGAGCAAACCAGACCAGAGTACCCGCCAACCACCCGCCGACCGGTGCACTCACCAGCTGCTGTATGTTGTCCAGCAAGTTGTTGATGTCCTGACTCTGCTGGAGGCCGATGTGCGACTTGCCCAGCAGACGCCGAATCTTCTTCTTGATCTCGTTCTTGGGCACCCTCATCATGAGCATGAAAGCTGCCAGGTTGTACAGCATGACGGCCAAGAGCCTGTCCTCATCAAACTCCAGGCGTTTCTTCTCCAGGTCGCCCAGCGAGTTGTACCTGGCACATAAGACACACGATATGAACACAAAACAAACAAAAATGGTGGTCTGTTTGTTTGCTTGAGTCAATAGAAGCACATAGAAACATCAATGGTCATATAGTGCTTGAAAAAATAAGACAGACAGACAGAACCAACGGAGGGAAAGTAAAGAAATACGACCAACCAGTAGCATCCTCCAACCATCCACAGAAAAGCTGGAGGGGAGGTGGGTTAGTGGAAACAGTTTACCTTGCAAATCAGACCTGTGCAAGAGGAGAGGGCCAACCATTGTCAAATAAAAAAGTGGTAACCCTCAACAGGTGGTCCTCGTGGAAAGCATCATTATGATTTTTTAAAATTCAAGAAGGGAAGAGAGAAGCGGTTGTTTTGTACAGGTGAACCGATGGTGGTTAGAGCAAGTTCGACTGTATTTTTCTATTAATGTTATCATTGCCTTGATTGATACAAACAGGTCTATTCTACAATACAGCATTTGGTCCAACAGGAAAAGTAGAGAAGAAAAAAAGAAGGAAGGAAGGAAGAAAACAAACAGAGACGATTGCATCTGCTACTAAGCTAAAGCAACAGTGAAAAGAAGTATACAGAGCTGACCACATAAGGGCCTTTACCAACCACGCTAAAAGTCAAAGTAGTATGGAGAGTCTTTTTTGCCTCCACTCAAAACAATTTTTTCAAATGGTAAAATTTAAGAGCCACCTTCTAAAACAACCTTTGTTCAATTGAAATTACTTAAACAATTTTTTTTAATGGCCAAAGTTAAGAGGCACCTTAAAAAAATAACTTTTGTCCAGTTGAAACAACTTAAAAATTAATTGAACAAAAAAAAATAAATGACCTCCTGCCCACTCACCTCTCCATCATCTCGGAAGGCCTCTGGTCCATGCCGATGATGTCCCTCTCCTGCGCCACGGCGTCCAGGAACATATCCTCCCAGAACTGCATGTGGTCCCAGACCCGCGAGCGGTCCTTCCCCACCAGGCCCTCAAACAGGTAGCTGCGGCTCTGCACCGCCTCGGCTGTGAGCCCCGCGGTGCCCGTGTGCACCAGCTGGCCGTCGTGGTAGCGGTAACCCGAGCTGTAGGCGCTCTTGGTGCTCCAGATGCTGGAGGAACGACTGCGACGAGAGTTCAAGTTGGTCGGCTGTGGAGGGGGGGGGGGGCCAGAGACGGACACATTGAGACAGGGCTGGGGTTCCAGGCTAACAAAGTTGTGGATTAGAGAAAAGCTGGGGGGTTGAGAGAAAGGGCAAGGTTCAAAGCTGCAAAAGGTCTGGATTAGAGAAAGGTTGGGGGTTCCATGCTGCCAAAGGTCTGGATTAGTTTAGTAAGAGTTTTTTCGGCACTCGTAACACAAATAGGTAAAAAAAAGTACTGAAATTAGAAGTACTAGAGAGTAACATACAAAGAAAAGAAAGAGCAGAGACATGGACAATAGATGTACGATAGGAAAGAAGAAGCAAACCACACTTGAGCACCCTCCAACCACCCAGACGTCTGGATTTGAAAAACCCTGGGAGTTTCAGGTTGAGAAAGGTATGGATTCGAGACCGAAAAAAGATGGGATTCACTGTTGTAAAAATTCAGAATTCAAGACTGAGAACAGTTGGGTGTCTCTGTTAAGAAAATCCAGAGTTGAAGATTGAGGGATTTGGGTTTCGCTATATAAAAAAAGTTCAGGACTAATGAAAGTCTGAAGTTCAGGATAACGTTAGTTTCAGAACCTGGACCTTGGATTGAAAATTGTGACCAAGACGTAACTTCATAATGCACCAACATCCCCCTTACAAAGCATAAGTAGCTCTTAAAAACTAACATCAACCAGGATTGGATGGGAAAGTAGACCAAAATTTTCTCGTTAAATTTCTGTTATAGCAGAACCTAGCTACAGAACCACAAAAAGAAACAGCTGAGTGACACCCATATGAAACACAGGATCATCACCTCTTTCCACTCACAACCAAGCATTTTAGTTTTAGTAAGAGTTTTACCGCACTTGCAACACAATAAGGTCATATAAGTGCCGAAGATTAGATTTTTTTTTTATAGTAGAGGGTTTTACGGCGCTCGCAACTGCATAAGGTCATACGAGCCCCAAGGGGTGGGTGTCAACAGAGAAGTCTTTACAGGGAATCAGACTTAGACTGCTCACCTCTCTAGTTTCAACAGCACAAGGTCTGCTTCGACTATCAAGGCACCCCGGAAAGAGCAGGTCACAAGAGAGTGGCAAACATACAAAAGAAGTAGAGGAAAATGACAATAGTAAGGAACAGGAAAGAAAAGGCAGCAGTTCCCTGTTGTAGACCAGGCACAGTTATGAGCGTGACAGCCCATTTACAATTCTACTATGCTTGAACGAGAAATGTCCCCCCTTCGGGAATGGCCTAAAGACACTACAGTCAGTGGCACTGCCCCAGGGGGGTCGAAGATAAGAGGTGTTACAAGAGAGAAACAAACACAAAAAAGGAGGAGAGATCAGGACAACAGATGTTTGATAGGAAAGAAGGAGCAAACCACACAGGAGCACCCGCCAACCACCCACACTGCCAAGCATGAAATGACGTTAAAGTTGACCTCAGACAAACAACAACAATAAAAAAAAAAGCAAAACAAAACAGGACATTAAACTATGGGAACCAACACTAGCATGTTTGTATCATGAAACTGTATTAAGCCAAAGTAACCTTAAACTTCATTCATACCATACACTGTACATGCCATTGTGGCAGACCTGCCACTCTATGAAACCTCAAAATCAGGATCTCAGGGAGAAAAAATCGGGATATGGTGAAAAAAATTGGGATCAACAGCAAATCACCAAGGTGACCGCCAAAGCTGACTTAAAATTTTGCCAGGGGTGTCCATAAATTCCTTGGCCTATATGCCCTCTGTGTGTCTTTTGTCTTTGTTTGTTTGCGTGCGTGCGTGTGTGTTTGTGTGTGTGCGTGCGTGCGTGCGTACGTGCGAGTTATCATTATTTTTTGTAAATCCTGAAGCATCGCGTCAAGTACTCCTAGTCCAAGTGTCTATAAACCCCCCCACCCCTACCAATAAGTCCCGAAATACATGAACTTAAGTTGACTCCGTCAACGGACAGTCCCCGACACGCAGAACTCACACGGTGATGATATGTCACGTGACGCGAATGCGCGATTGAAACAATTTTACTAACGGATCCGACTAACTGCGCATTCACACAAAACACTCGGATGAGCGACAGTCGTTCTACTTTAGGATAACGACGGCGGTCGACCGACCAAATGTACCAACAAATCTCTTATCCCTCATAATGCGTTCTGACTAAAGCAACGACAACGGCCGTATGTTAGTCTTGTCACCGCAGTTACAGTTAGTTGTGTGAGGGTTAGAAAGACTGTCGCTGGTCCGAGTGTTTGATGTGAACGCGCAGTTACCAGACCTCGGACAAGGCTTGTTTTGAAAGTAAAAGCGGAACTAAGAATATTATCAATTATTAAACGTCCCAAATTGTAACAGTTACCAGGCTATCATCGGAGAAATCTGAGTGCGGGAAAATATACAACTTGGGGAGAGTCAACTACTAAATGCGGCATCGATATTTCGGGAAATAGTGCTGCGAGTTCCTACAGACAAAAAGTTTGATGGGTGCTTCCCTTGATAAAGGAGTATGTTTTTAGAAAAATTCGGCACAACAGCAGACTGGGACAAAAAATCGGGATACACACGATCGAAATCGGGAAAATTGGGAGGATTGAGATTTGGGGCAAAAAATCGGGATATCCCGACTAAATCGGGATGAGTGGCAGGTCTGCCATTGTGGCCACATTTCCCCCATGGGACAAACAAAAGTATTTTTATTTTATTTTCTCGCTTCCTAAATTAATAATAGCAGTGAACAGATTCAATAAAGACAAACTGCAGCTATCACTTGAAGACACTGGGCCAAAGGACACAAACCCAAGCACAACTGGACCAATACAACAACAACAGCAACAACAACTCCCACTGACCAAATTTGTCTCCATCTCGCTGTCAGAGAGAGCTGAGCGAATACTCTGGTGGTTGATGCGATGTCTTCTCTTCTCTCCTTCCTCCTTCTCCGAGCTGGTGCTGACCAGGGTACTGGCCTCGGACATCTCTGAGTCCACACTGTTAAACTTGCGGTCCAGTTTGCTGGCTTTGATTAACTCCTGAAAATAAAACCAAACAGAATGTAATTCTCTTTAAGATAACAAAACTAAAAAAGAAAACTAAGTACATAACTGCATGCCCCCATGTTAAGCAACTTTACAGGGACCTGCAATGCCAACCAAAGAGCTGTTAACCCTTTTCCTACCAAGTAAAAGTAAATTTATACATTAACTGTTAAAAACAATCACATTGAAAACTTCTGTACTTCATTCTTTCGTCTTCACAAGGCATATGCTCTATATTCGATAAAATAAGTTTGGTAACTAATCTCTCTGAACACCATCACATTCAATCTGTCACATTTACAACATGCTCCCCTGGCACAAACACAGAGAACCCCAGAATACAGCTTAAAATTCTTTAGGGACATTTTTGGCTCTTATTGTGCAAACTTAAACACAGACATCTGGTGATATATAAACCCCTCATCTCATTCTAGGTCACTAAACCCTCAAGTTTCAGCAGCCATAGTCTACAGAAAATGTCTTTGGTGTTGAAATCAGAACCCAAGCATGCATCAGATCACTGACTTCAATTCAATAAAATTCTATAATGTGTGCCAACAAGCTAAAAGGGAAACATAGCAACAGTAATAATAGGGAGCATGTACCCTTCAACTCCTTGTTTCATCCGATCTTCCTCCCCAAATTTCTCCCAGCGAGATGAATAAAGATTGCTGTTGTCATAGTCATCATGCCCTCTACGTCTCAGAAACACAGATAACTGGACAGGACAGACACATCAGAGCTCAAGGCTCAAATCAGAGATGAGAAAGAGTTTATTTCAGCTTTCCAAGACAACAGATATTTTTCCAAGGCCCATTTCCTTAACAGAAAGTCCAGTGCTCAATCCCCAAAATGACCAGTAATACCATGTCTGCTCCCCTCACCTTGTTCTTCACCATGTCCCTCAGCATATCCCCCTGCGCCTGCTGAGCTCTCGCCTCTGACTCCGCCTCAGTCACAATAATATCGCATGATGCCATTCCCTGCTGAGTGGCAAGCCGAGAAGAGGGCGCCACTTTGCCTCCCGTCTGCCTGGTCCACTCTGCCAGCTGACCAGCGTCGCCCGCTGCGAGTGGGTCAGTGAACTGCGGGGGGTTGCCATTCCGGTCTCTCGCCGAGCTCACCTGTGACCTGGAGTGGTGGTGGTGCTGCTGCTGGAAGTCGAGTGGAAGGTTGTCGTTGCGATCGCCCACCCCGCCATCATCTGACACCGAAGTGATTTCGATATTCTCAAACTCATCTCCATTTACGATGACAGGTGAACCTGTTAGTGTGAACAGTACCAGTCCATGAGTTAGTTCAAGTGTGAGGCTCGCCACCAATACACCAAGATAAGTTTAAGTGTGGGTCATATAATACTATTACTAACAATAATAGGTTCTAATTATCCAAAAGAAAACGAGATGATCGTAAAAGGGGAAAAGTGATTCAAAAGTCGTTAAATATTTCCTTACCTCTTTCAACCAAACTATCTGTTAATTTTCATCTACAGGAAAAAAATGGTTAAAAGTAGCACAAAACAAAGTTGGATATTTAAGTCAAACTAAAATGATAGTAAGAAGCAATAACAACAAAGACTTAATAGCATCCATTCCTATGATATCTTAACACTAAAGATTACTTTTTTATGAAATAATGAGATGATAATGATATAAAAGCTCCGTAGCTGAATCCACAAATAATCCCCCTTCCACCAAAGTGTGACGAAAACAATAGGAAATTTATAGAATGACTTCGATATTGTAATGTTATACAGCTGGATATGGTTGAAAATAAGACAGAGGGCGGATAAAGGGAAGGATGAAAAATCAGTTTAGTGAAATTCTCATAGGTGTGAGTGTCTGAGAAAAGTATATGTCCTATACACAAAATGGTAATTGATATTTCACACTTAAATAGCTCTAAACATACTATAAGTAAAATTTTCATTCACAGTAAACAAAAGACATGTACTTGAAACTGGAAAAAATTTGTATAAAACTCAGGAATGCAAGTGAATTAGTGTAAAAAATTACATGTCAATATAGCAAATTTTTTTTTTCATTTCAGTTTTACTGAGATTTTTGTATCATTTTAGTTATAAAGCTTTCTCAGCCATCATAAATTTACTGCTCTCTTAAAAGTATAAGCATTACAAATACTGCTAATTTGAAACAAAATGATTCTACATATTTTTAATCACAATCCAAGTCTTACTTACAGTAAACATAGACAAACACTATATCACTACAAAACTGCTATCCAACACACATGCAATTTCTGATAACTATCTTTTAACAGGCTTAGCAGCAGAATCAACACGTCAGTAAGTACTTTTTAAGAATTCAAGCTAAGAAAATAAAAATATGAAAGCAAATTAGCTTTTAAAGATGCGAGGTAGGCAAACTGTCAAAAAAAAAAAAGGTGATTGAGCAGATTTATCAAGCGGAAATATAACTGACTTAAGTACGAATCAGAACACTAAGAAGCTCCCAACCTTTTCCATAAGGGTACAGATATTTGTCGGAGTACAGTACACATGTGCATGAATAGCTTATGTGCATTGACAAGATGGGGAGGGGGGGGGGGAGGAAAGAGACTGCAGACAGAAAGTCAGACAAATGAACAAATGAACACCCAGACAGACACTCTGAAAGACTGATACAGTGTGCCTGTCATACCCACAGGATTTGCACCTACTGACTGGCTGAACCCCTGACCAGATGAGTCTTTCGTCTCCCATTTCACTTTTAATCAACATAATTTCTATAAGCAAATGAGCCTTGAGCATCCAAAGTGCACTTGTGTTTTCGTTCGTATAATGTTAACAGACATTATATTAGATGGGACCAACAAAAACAATACTGCCAATTTCTTCTACTGGAATAAAAGTAAAAATTTTCTTTTCCTAACTTCTCGGTCAGTCTGACAACCCCCTTCTCAAAGCAGGCTTACTGTATACAGGCCTTCCTACATACAAGAGAACGAGAGAGAGAGAGAGAGAGAGAGAGAGAGAGAGAGAGAGAGAGAGAGAGAGAAAACAAAAGAAACTAATAAAGGGAGAGAGAAAAGTAAAAGGAAGAGCATCACCCAGAGAGAGAATGTCTACAACAAAGCCAGACTTGCCTGCTTCAGGACTAGGGCTAGACATAAAAGGCTCAGGGAAGGGGTTAACATTAGAGGCAGGAGCAGTGGGAATGGAGGTGGTAGTGCCTGCATGGCTCGGGGGCTGGCCTATTGAACTAGTAGAGAGGGGGTTCGAAGCCCGCTTGCCTGGCCACCACTCTGGGGAAGGAAGTAAGGGTCACAGCATTATGAGGGGGGGGACAACGGGAATGGTGCAAAATGTCACAGCCGCAGATCTGAGAATCCCAGGCCTTTCCTGACAACTTCTCAACTCATAAGGTCGGATAAAAATCATCCACTCAAAGGGAAATTTTATTAATTCAGTCAAAAACAATAATTCCACTCAATTCTCCATCCACGTCTTTGAAAAAAAAACAACTCCAGACAAGAGATGATTTGTTATATAATATTACAGACCACTAACCCACTTCTTTATCTTTCTGATTCGAATGCAAAAGTAACTTCTCTGCAGGAGGGACAACCAGAGCCTCCCTTCATCAGAAACACCACAAAATCTTGCACGCTTACAGTTCCTGTTTCATACTGTTTGTGTGCTCTACTATCACTTTTTTTCTTTTCCCGATTTTCTTCTTTATCCCCTTCTGCTTCTCAACTCTATCAACCTTTCGCTGTTTTTGAAGTCATGACTTTATATCAAGGACACATGTAACTTAAAAGTTTTGACATCAGCAACCAGCAAGAAAAAACCATGAAACTTACACAGATCAGAATGTTCTAGAACTGAAAAACTTGAAACCCACCATGCAAACCTTATCACCAATAAGAAAAGGAAACCTTATATGAAGGACTTATTTATTTGTGTCAGAGACAAGTTGGGATAAAGATGGATATTTATAAATAACATTTATATAGCGTTCTTCCATTCGAAAACAAGCTCTCAGCTCTATACAGAAACTAATTACTACTACCCAAGAACACTCAAAATTACTTGCGCTACTTCTGTATCACTTTTCCTGTAATCCCAATAACACTTTTATAAAGTTACTTTTTCTTTACTCAAGTAACAAAATTATGCCCTTACTCATCCTCCAGTTACAACACTTTTTGACTGCTACTCCTCCGCTCTGCTAGTAGCACAACTTTGACAAATAACACAAAGAAAAAGGGAAATCAAGGAGCAAAGTCAGGGCAAAGCTATGTGCAGCATCTAATGGCATCCTACACTACTTTTCAATCAACATAAATATAACTTTGTGAACTGATGATGCAAATGATAAACAATGTCACCATTTTTTAAGTCTCAATGCAGAAGCAAACAGATTGAACTCAGTCTTTAAATTTCTCTTTCCAACTCTTGAGTTATAGTGGAACTGGAGAAAAATGGTACGCTTCAAGTAGGTAAAATTGGGTCACGCTATCAGACGGTGAAAACGACTTTACATTCTGAAGTATTTATTATCTTATAAAGAATCAGAATGGGGACTATTGGTCATAACTAAAAACACTTCCATGTACATATCGTCTGTGTCACAAGCAATCCAGTTAAGTCCGGTTGGGTACTTTTTATACCAGAGACAAAAACCCTGATTTTGTTGCGTTTTTCCTATCAGGGAAAGCAACAAAATCGCAAGTCTTGACCAGAGCATTAAACTGCACTTTGGCCATGTTGAAAGGTGCATCTTTGATGGAGTCTTAGGAAGTTGTAAAAAGAACAAATTCTCAAAGTTTCGACTTGTGTGTATTGCTTGCGACAGCGAAAGTATAAACCAACCCCACTCTTAACATACAGGCAAAAATTGATGAGTACTGCATGACTCCCTCGCAACAACAATCCTAAATTTCCTATGACCCTTTAAATAAGTGTGAGTGAGTGGTCTTCATCCCTTGTTAGCATTAGTATACGGCATTAGCCATTAGTAAGAAATCAGTTATTGTGGATACTGTTGAAGTTAGGTCAGAGACGATAGAATGCACTAGACCAAATTATACAAACTAAGTATCCATAATAAATATATGTGAACTTTCAGTATTAATTTATATAACATGCATTGGACGAAAACAAGGCATGAGCTAGGATATAAAGAGAACTACACACAAATCAGCTTAACTTATTCCTGCCCTTAAAGCTTATCTTTATACTTTAAAGCAAACATGGCATTGTTCATATTTGAGGCTACAATTGGCAAGGTAGATTAAATGAACCAGATAAACTACTTCAAAACAAATTTCAAAAAGGAAAGGGACAATTTTGGGCAGGGCAAAGGGAAAAAGTCGAATTACATTAAACAGAACAAGTCAAAACAAAACAAAAATAAGCCCAAACCAATCCACTGTATGAAAAAAAGGAGCCACAGGTTTTGCCTAGGCTTGATGTTTAAAAAACCCCCAAACATGACTACATCTTAACACATTCCTAAGCATGCTTTAATCTTTTTCTTGGCATAATCATTTTTAAATGATACAAGACAAAGATATCATTTGTTACATTACTATGTTAGCGTAAATCAGCTTACAGCCACTGCAAAGGCAACACAGTCTATGCTACATAAGAAACCAGTTATTGTCACATGAAAATAATTTTAAAAACCATAGACATTATCTAAACTTTCTACTGCCCAAACTAGGTTATTTTCATCTAAATTCTTCACCCTATCGTTAGGATACTCCCTAGACCCCCCCCCCCCCCCCCCCTCCCAACCAGAAAGTTTACAAAGAAAGAAAAATCACAGGAGTGTCCTGAAAAATGTTCACGTTACCACTGCTGACATAGACTTATGCTTGCATAAAAGTTAGCGGTGAATACTTAACATTATTTCCCAATGTGAAGCTTTCCAAACACTTCTCTTAGTAATAATAATTGTAGTAATAGTAGCAATAACAATACTAATTATAAAAATAACAACAATAATAATACTGATTATAATTTAAAAAATAATAAATAACAATAAGATTAAGAATAAGAAATAGCAATTGTATAGCGCATATCATATTCTCATTCAATGGCAAACTCTATGCACTTTATAATCTATATCATTATCCCAGCAGACCCAAAAACACTCAGAAACATTCCCAGCTTCCCATTCTATTGTCCTAATAGACAATAACTGGATTCTGCAACACTAGCTCTGGCTGGTCATCTTGTAGCAATGCAAGCAAAACAAGCTATGAAAAGACACACACACAGCACAAGCACGATCGGGACTCACTGGCTGTAGTAATATCATCAGAGAGCTTGCGGTTGGTCGAGGTCAGACTTTCATGGCTTCCATGCAGTGACATACGCTAAAACAACACAACACAAAAAAGAAAGTATTAGGAAAAATCTGGTAAAGAAAAGAAAAAGACAATTTAGTGATCTCCTTTAGAGAGATTTTTTTAACAATGACGTATACATATATTTTGATTGCTTGGATTGTTTGAAAAAAGAGAAATACATTCAATCTATAACAGCTATTTAGTGCTGGAGAAAAAGCAAGATGGACAGACAGAAATAATACTGGAAAAGAAAAGAAGTAGGACCCACCAATGACACCCTCCAACTATCCACATGTATATAATAACCAAAATGACATAACAGAGTAATTCAAACAAAACCACATCTTTATTGTTAGCTATAGTAACAAAGTAGCACACTTTAATAGTATACTGAGGTTGAGAGATTATATTGCATTTATTGAACAGAGTGAATACATCAGAAAGCTTTGTTATCCTCTTCTTCAATACTTTCATCATATGCTGCTTTCATCAAGATAGCTGATGAAATGACTGAGCAAAAAGCAAGAAAAAATTTTTGCAAAGAAAAGAAAAGAGAAACCATTCAGGTTTTTTTATTTTCATAGTAGCGGGATACGGAGAAGACCCATGGTTTTTGAAAACCGAGGGAGTTCCTGTCTCTTTTGCAAACTTTCATTGAGGTGGACTTTGTCTTTTCCCAACACCAGAATGAGCTGTACCTCAGGGGTAAGGCTGGCATCACTCTTGTTGCCCGAGGGGTCGCGAGCCCAGTAGTGTGTGTGAGCTATCTCCAACAGCATGTAGGCAGAGGCCATTCCTCCTAACCCGTGGTTGTTGATGGTGCAGCCTAGACCATGGATGATGGCCTTCAGAACCGACATCATGCCTCGTAACACAGACTTGCTCACACACTGAAAAGGTTGTTAAGTCTTCATTAGTCTATAGCCCTGTGGCACATAAATAGATCAGATCAAAGGCAGCGCTCTTGCGGCCACAATAAATAAGGAAAAAAGAAGGTTAAGAATATCACAAGGACAGGTGGATATCGAATTGCTGATAACATGTCACGGAAAGCCGCTTAATCCACAGATTCTAAGGGCAGGGACAATCTTAAAAAAGCCCAGGTTTCCCCCCCCCCCCCCCCACTCCAAATCTCCTGACTGAATCAATCTTTTTTATAACAAATAATACAGTAAGAACTGACCAAACAAAAAACTTAAATGTATAAACATAAAAACCAGAAAATAAAAAAAAAATTGCAAGGGAAACTTGAACTCTTATCAACAGAAGAGAAACGTGAACTGAGATTTCTTACAGCGAAAGATTACTATTGGCACGGTCCATCCTTGTAAAGGTAAAACAAGCACTCACCACATCCTCTATATGCTGCGCATCCTCTGCCACTTTTTGGTCTAGGTTGCGGTTTAGCCGACTGACCACAAAGTTGCGATAGTTCTCGTCCTCCATCAGCTTGTTCAGCCGGCCTCCCTTCATCCAGCTCAAGCCTTTCCCATCCAGCACCGAGTTGATCACTTCTTTCAGAAACTGTTGGTTTTCACTGAATGGGGGACAGAAAAGAAGGAAATAATGAGATAAAGACAGAAGAATGAGACAACTTTATTACTGATCTTTGTTGGGAGATATGTTTCAAAATGACACCCAGAACAACGAATTCATCAAGAGCCAGATCTAAAACAGGCATCGGCAGTCATGGTTCGTCACTCAAATACTCTAAAAAATCCTATACTATTCTAGTCTTTTCTTGTCTAACATCTCTTCATGTGCTCTCTGGGAAAGTTGTTCTTGGTCCACCTCCGCCTCATCTGCCTTTTAATTTTTAAAGAAAGAAAATGTTCAAAGATAATAAGCAATGAAAGCATAAAATACACCAAAAAATGCAGAGCACTGTCTTTTCAGGATGTAACATCTTTCAACTAATTAGTATTCCGTGGCACACACAGTGAGCATATAGTGTACAAAATGGGGATCAAACTAGGTACTTTGGTACCAGAAAAAACACACCAGCTCTTCACTTATAGGAACTCTTTTGAGGAGGAGAAAAAAGGGGAGAGGAGAATGAGAAAGCAGAGGAAGGCCTGTTGTTCGCTCCTGTCACAAATTTCAAATGACAGGCTCAAGTAGAGGTTCTAAACACAGTTCAGTGCAAACTGAATTAAGAGTAACTACAAACTTTTAAAAAACAACACAAGTTCCCAGAACAGCAGTACAAAAGAAATAATTTATGTTATTATCAAGCAAAACAGTATGAAAATAGCTGTTAATTTCAACTAAATTAAAAAAAGACTTTTTGAACACAAAAAATCAGAAGTCCAGGAGGAAGAAGAAAACATGGCTCGGCTTGTCTGTATTTACAGTATTCATTGGAATATTATTCTCAAATGTTAGCATTTAAACAAACCTGAAGGAAAGTGACTGGACTAAACTGTCAACTGCATTAAAAACTGGAGCAAGGTATAGAAAAACAACAACAAAACCTCCAAACAATATCAACTTCAAGCTCAGAGGTAAAGAAAAAAAATACAATGTAACCAAAGATAAGCCACAAACACTTCAAACAGCTCTTACCATCCTCTGGCACACACACACTTCAATTCAATTTTCCTTAGCACCACTGAGTAGGCTCTGGTTCTGGTAAACACCACAGCAGAAGAAACAGAGAAACTATCCCATAATACATCCTCCTTTTCCTTAGCAAAAATTAACAGAACACATAAATTTCTTTCTCTTGTACTTCCAGGTGAGCAAATAACTCCATGTTCATTTCCCTAAATCTGAACAAATGTGGTCAGTGGCCATCATAAAGGAGAAACAAAAACAATAAAAACTCTGGATGAGGCGCATTTTCATTTGTCCGCAAATGTTTAAAGTGCACCATATCAAAATCCTACGTCAATTCCTTGCCCCAACATAATAAAAGTTTTATCATTCACAGATAATTAGTCAAAGGAACAGTACTCAATGAAAGAGAAAAGGTTAAACTTTCATTCTAATATTCATATCCCTAAGCTACTTTTCAAAGATTATCGTTATTGATTAACCCTATCCGTACGTCGGGTTTAACTATCGTATCCATAAGATGTGGGAAACCCTGTGCCACCACTTTTCAAAGAGTAAATTTACTTGTTAATCCGATACCGATGCTTTGCATTGCAGTCTGTCAAAATGATTTTTTGAGAAATACTGAAAGTTTCAAAGAGATCTTCGTACTAGAAGTATTCTAAAATGTGAAGAATACAACCCCGGGGGTACAAAATGACCCCAGGGCGTATGGATAGGGTTAATAAACTCCACTTTATATTGTCTCAAGTTCTGGCACAAAAAATCTTAGTTATCTGAAATAATCAGTCCGATGTTACAGAGTCAAAGTGTTAAAAAGGTCAGAAGCCACCACTGAAATGTTTTCCTTTCAAATGGAGGGAAGTCTCAACCTCCATTCAAACTTCCATGGAACAATTTGATTGTTTGCAAATGTAATTGAAGCCCAAATCTTTCTTGCCACATCCCCTTCCTGTAACACCTTACACTAGCACGCGGCTTTTAAAAAGCTAGGAGAAAATTTGATTCAGTCAGAGAAAACTTCATAGAAACCGTTTATATCGTACTACACACCTGTACAAATGAAAACTTCCCATTTCTTCCCTTGGATTAAAAAAAAAAGTTACAATGACACAGTCCAAGATGTCCACCTGTCTCAGACAACCACTTGTCACTTCACCAATGGGTGGCCATCTTGGACAATTTAGACTATATCTCACTCATTGAAACAAAAGCTTGTAATCTAGTAGGCAGGACCTTCTGTTCCAGTTATATGGCTCCTTTGTAGAATCCTACTATGATCAGATCCTACTCTGATCAGTAAAGGTGACCATTGATGTGTTGAAGCTTTTAACCCGCACCTGTTCACTAAATACAAGACTTCAACTGACCTGTTTGAGTTACCCTTTGCATCAACAGGTGACAGCTTCGGTTGTTCTTTCTGCTTTCTGCTTGTTGCATGTTTCACTAAACCTGATTTTTCAACCAATGCTTTACGGTTGCCTGAAAGAGAAAAAGAAAATTCTGTTGCTGTTGAGTCACAGAGAAACAAACAGACAAACGCTGATCACAAAGAGCTGGAGAATAGAGGAATAAGCCAAAATGGTAGATGGTAACTATACAGGTATGTTTTGAACTAATGTTAACATGTCATGTCACCAACACAATTGACACACATAAGGAGGATACTATCAGTGTTTTCCAACAGCAAATATGATTGCGAATTTTTTTCCCACACTGTAAAAACAAACACCTTTTTTTCAAAGAATTTTCAAAAATTGGACATTAACTGAACATTTTCAGAGCTGCTGAAATGTTCAATAACCGATGAAATGAAGATATGAAACTTTGTATTATAAAGAGAAACAAACAGACAAGAGTTACAAAATATACACTAACAAAATGTTCACCAATGCCTTCAGTTAAACAGAAAACATTTGTTGGCTTTCATACATATGGGCCGTGTAAACCATTTCTATAGCCATGTAACCCATTACAACAAGAAGGTGATCGAACTAAGTTCACCCAAAACAACAGTGGAAGCTACTCTAACAACCACCTGTCCACAACAATCACCTGTACAAATAACTACTTCCCATCTTTCCTTTATTATTAAGAAACTTGTCCTAGAGGACCACCTAAGATGACCATTTTTCTCTTTGACAATGGGGGGTCGTCTTGGACAGTCTTTACTGAATCAAATCTGGATCAATAACAACAACAATGACTGTGTCAAATCACCTAGAGGGGTAAAGGGCTTGGCAGCTGCAGCTTTAGGCTGAGGTTGAGGTGCAGCAGCTGCTTTATTGCTTCCTGAAACAACAAGAGAAGAAAAAGTATTAGCAAACTACAGTACATCACAATAACAGATTAATTATTTGGTTTTTAAAAAATAAAAAATATCCAGAACATCAATTTTTTTTTTCCAGAGCGGGTGTTTTGTGTCCCTACCAAATACAAATTAAATCATTAAGGAAGTGTGTTACTTCAACCCTGCTTGTCAGAGCCAATCCAGGCTCAGAGCGATACAACATCCAAGCAGGCATGCAGGCACACATGCACTCATGCATACACACACACACACACACACACACACACACACACACACACACACACACAACACACTAGAAAAACACCAATACCAAGAAAACATATCATATCTCGTCTCATCTTACGTTAATGAATCTTACCAAAAAGTTCTGATACTGTGTTGGTGGCAGACTGTGCCATGTCTGTGAGCTCATTGCTGATGGTGGAGATGATGGATGAGGAGGAGGACTTGTCTCCTTCAGAACCCTGAAGACAATACAGAAAGTTACGCTCAATGTTGGTATTACTGATCCCTATTGTGCATGGCCAAACCAAACCGAACTGACAGTAATAGCGATAAGAAAAGAACTACAACATGGTCTATGCGCCTTACAGCTATTTTCATCACCACAGACACTGAACATTCTCCGCTTCCCAGGAAGCATACAGTGCAAGCTGTGGATTACACACACTAACATACTACCAAACTGACAAGATTTTTCCTTTTCTAGAGCAAGGTGCCCATTTTCAAATATTGGCATTAAAACCTGCTGAAAAGTGACTGGTAAGACTCCAGACAAAACTATACATTAATGTGAAATGCCTGCAGATTAGAACCTATGGCCTTATGGTTTACAGTCATTCGTGACACCACAATGCCACCAAACTGTCTTCCATTGTCTAAAAAAACATGCCCACCAAAAGCATTGTAACCAGAACCCAAACTGAATACAATGTATCTAAAATACAACAACTCACCCGGCCCGCTTTCCTGGTAGAGGCAGATGACCCACTGGACACGCTCCCACTGGGCCGACGCAGCATGGCGGGTGACAGGTTCTTGCGGGCCATGGGTGGGGTCATGTGAGGAGGCGGGGAAGCTTTGGAAGGAGGCATGCTAGGGCGAGGGGGCGGAGTCCGGGGGGACTGGGGGGCTGCTGCGGAGCTGCGGGCAAGGTTCGGACTTCGTGAACCCACGGGTATGCTCGGGCTGGGCTCTGGGGGTCTGAGGGGGAAAGGAACAATAACAGATCAGGCTAGGATGGGCCTTGTGTAATTTGTGTGACTAGGCCTGTTAATTTCTTTTTTTCAGCTCAAGTAAGAGTTTTTCAACACTTGCAACACAAGTAGGTCACATATAAGGGCAGAAAATTGGAAGTGATACTGAAGAGTCACATACAAAGAAAAAAAAGAGGACAGATAAGGATAATAGACGTTTTGATAGAAAAGAACGGGCCAATTACATCAAAGCACCTGTACCGCCACAACTAGACCCGTGCATGTGAATAATGCAGGTATGAGTGTGTATAGGAATCTGAGATAGTGTTTGTAGGAAAGTATGTGGGTGCAAGTGTGCACACACATGCGGGTATTTTTCTGGAAGTGAGTGTAAGAGAATGACTTCAACACGCCTTTACTATAAGAAGACAACATGTTAACAAGAAAGTTGTAGCACTCAGCAGTCCATACAAAAGTGCCTTCCAAGAGTAAAGAATTTCCCTACAAACAGGTAACATACATAGTTCATGGATGTGATGAGTATTGAAACAAGGTTAATTAAAGCAAGCTTTAATTTTATTATTTTTCTATTCATATACCGTCTTTTTTTTCTTCATAAAACAGAAATGTTTTGAAATATCTATCATGTAAGAGTTGAACTGCCATCTTATCTACCTTGATTCAATAACATTGCATTCTCATAATTAATTGTATGATATTTCTTGACTGTCCACACAGTGGACTCAGTCCCGTCAAAGATGAACCATAACTCAAATTTCCTGTTTCTTTAAATCATTTTACCGAGTTGAAACTGGAGTTGAATCTTCACCAAACAATACAAGATGGACCAGTAAAGACTAGTCTTAAGATGAAAGAGAAAGAAAAAACTGGACATTTTTTCAGAATGTCCTCATCTTATTTGCCCTGACCTTATTCACCACAAACACTATCGTCATAAGACATATAATGAATATCGATAGAGGGCAAATAACATCACCTATCTAGACGTTTTCTACAGTAGAAGGAGCTCCTCTGCCATCACACTTACCCTGAATGTGCCAGAGCCTGGCTTGTGTCGATCATGTTACCAGAGTCATAGCGGAATATCGTCTCCTGGAAGGAAGAGAACAGAACAAATAACAAGGATGCTAAAACATTCTCAAAAGGCTCATGAGAGAAGACTGTTCTAGCCTTACTCTCTCATGAACACATAACTACCTCCTTTGGCCCTGAATTGCGATTTTCACATTTTTTTGCTTTTTCTTACTTTTTATGGGGTGGGGGCGAAGTTGAAATAATATCAATAAGCAATTCTCCCCACAAAAACAAAAGAAGATCCCATTTCAAAAAGTCATGTGGGATCAGCATACTTCAAATATAGACCACTGATAACCCCACTCCTTTTATATATATAAAAAAAAACAGTAGGTGTTTTACGCCTCCATCAACACAGTTTATATAATTTAAGAGGTAGACTTCTACCCTGCCTATCAGGGATACAACTTTCCTGCAGAAAGACCAATATACTTGATAAAAATTTGCCCAATATGGGAACGGAGCTCGCATCTTCTGCATGAGAAGACAAAGCACCTTATCACTACACCACAGATTCCACTGTCATATTCTTTCCATGTACCAAAACTGTAAATTGATAAATTCAGACAAGAGGTTTGTATGAAAAATCTGTCACGACTGCTACTTGAAATACATGCGATCAGTATTATTAGTATCCATCATGCGTGTGAGAATCAAAAAAACTCTCAGAGTTATTGCTAAAGAATAAGCTATACAGGTTTGAAGCGTAGGTCAGCAAAAATTCAGTCATGATCTCTGGTTCAGTCAGCCATGCCAGAGTACCCGCCAACCAACTACCATCAGCATTTAACTTTTAAAAAATCATAAAGTCCTTAATGTGCCGACCGTTGTAGTACATGTTTGTTTGTTTTAGTAAGGTTTTACGGTGCTTGCAACTGCGCAAGATCATATGAACGCCAAGGTGAGGATGTTAACAGAGAAGTCAAAACAGGGAATCAGCCTTACTCTGCTCGCCTTTCTAGCCTCAACAGCACAAAGTCTACTTCGACTATCAAGGCACTTTGGAAATAGCAGTTCACAAGAGAGTGACAAACATACAAAAGAAGTAGAGGAAAAACGACGATAGTAAGGATGAGGAAAGAAAAAGCAGCAGTTCCCCCAATGTTGTTTCAGCACAGTATGATGAGCCTGACATTGATAAATCAGCCCATTTGCAATTTTACTGAGCATAAGAACATGTTAATATCCCCCCTTTGAGAATGGCCTAAAGACTCTCCAGTCAGGAGCACTGCCCTGGGGGGGGGGGGGGGGGGGCGTGTACATGTTTCAATGAAAGTAGTAAACAAACTATAAAGAAGGTCACTATCACAGTGCAAATGAACACTGGGTGGGCTGTTTGAGTTTACATACAATATGCCAATATAAATGTATTACCTGGGCGGTAAATACTGACATATGATACAAGACGTTTAATATGATATGCCACTATAATACAGGGTGATTAAAAAAGAATACGCCAAATTCATCATATGATATTTCAAAAATGAAAAATAATAGACAACTCCAGCTTGGACACATGTGTTGTACATATCTTCAAGTTAAATTTCACGTTTTAAAAATGCTCAATGTGGCCACTACAGGCAGCATAGACAGCATCAAGCCGGTATGACAATTCCTCCTGAACGCGCCCCAGAATGTCCCGGTTCACCATGTTAATTGTAACTGTTATTTGATCTTTCATGTCATCGATATTTGGTGGAAGTGAGAGAACATAAACTTCGTCTTTAACATGCCCTCACTAGAAAAAGTCATAAATAATGAGGTCCAGAGATTTGACAGGCCAAGCGTAGAAAGCGAGGTCTTTAACACCTCTCCTGCTTATCTACTGCTGAGGCATGTTTTCATTCAGATGAGCTCGAACCCCGAGATGCCAATGGGACGGTGCTCCACTTTAGAAATGAAGTCGGTGGCCTAGTGGTTAGGCTCTCGGACTCGCAACCGTAAGGTCGTGAGTTCGAATCCCGTCAGGGGCCCGACGTTGTGTCCTTGGGAAAGGCACTTTGCACAAATTTTCCTCACTTCACCCAGGTGGAAATGGGTACCCGGCTATAGACAGTGAACGATCTTGTCAGTTTGATAGTGTTTGAGCGCGTGAAATCCGCAGCTTGCACTGTATGCTTCTGCGGAAGCTGCGGATGTTTCTGAGTGTTCTCAGATGGTCTGCTAGGGTAATGACAGCTGTAAAGCGCGTAGAGCATGCACTTGAGCATGGATATGCGCTATATAAATGCAATTATTATTATTATTATTATTATAAGTCATTCGAATCTGCTTGCAGTACACTAAATACCCAGTTTTTGTGGGAGTATGTTAAAGACAGAGTTCATTTTCCACCACTCCCAGGAAATATAGATGACGTGATAGATCGAATAACAGCTACAATCAATATGATGGAGCAAGCCATCCTGAGGCATGTTTGGGAGGAATGTATCAGCTTTATGGTGTCTGTGGAGCCGGTAATGGCCACATTGAGCACTTTTAAAACATGAAATAAAAACTTGAAGGAATATAAAACGCAGGTTCCTAAGCTAGAGTTGTCTATTGCTTTTTTAAATACTGCGTGATGATTCTGGCGTATTCGTCTTCAATCACTCTGTACATTATAAAGATTTTTAGTCTTGTGATGCGATATGTATTTTTAAGATATTTCACAATATTGTTTATTTTGTTCATTAAGTACACAGAAGCACATTAACACAAAACCATCATATAGAGCAGGGATGAAGCAAGACAGATAGATAGAAACAAAAGAGGCAAAGAAAGGAAGTAAGACCTATCATAGGCACCCTCCAACCACTCACACATTGCACAATATGAATGAAGCGGTGTTTTAAAGCACTGTGCAGAATATTGGGATGTGATGCCATAACAAATGTACCGTGAAGTACTGTGGCGTAATATATGGTTTTACATCTGACATGCTGTTGTATGCTACAGAGAATGTTTCAGAGTGTTTTAGGGTCTGCTGGGGTAATAATAGTTGTAATGCGCATAGGGCATGCTGTTGATCATGGACATGCTATAAAAATATAACAATAATTATTATTATTATTTATTATTACTATTATTAAGATAAGATACGATGAGATAATACTTTACTATCCCAGAGGGAAATTTTTCTTGGCAATACAGGACACACGCAGGTATACATAAAAAATTTAAATTATATATTACTTTCATTAAATAAAATTCAATATGAAAAGAGAAGTAAAGCTGACAATATCATTATAACTATTATTATTATCATTACTATTATTAACTTCCCTGGACACAGAATGGATTCTGAAGTGATTATTATTAATATTATTACGATTGTGATTATTATCATTATTATTATTATTATTAAATTCTCTTCACGAACAAAGAAAAACAAGGCTGTTTTGTCTTTCTTCCTACACCTCTTCACGGAGCCACCGCCTGTCTGGAGACCCACCTGCCGATCCCCGCCATCGTGGCTGTAGGAGGGGCTGGAGGAGGCGGAGGAGCTCATGTCGCTGTCCTCCTGCAGGGAGAGGGCCGAGTCGCTGTTGGTGGAGGGAGCCTCCGGCAGGTGGAGCTTGTCCGGTGGGGAGTACACTTTGGCCTCGTCCACCGCCAGGATTTGCATCTCGGGGGCAAACGCTGTTAGAGAGTTACAGGACAGGGGGGGAGGGGGACAAACGAGCTAGTCATGCTGTTATCATGCTTGCTGCTGGGTGTGCCTATGGCTTTGTGCATTTTTTTAAAACAGAAGAGTTGGTTAGAAAGGCGCCCTCTATTGTTTTGGGTTGGGTTTTTTTCAATTGCAACCCAACTGAGTTCATACAAAAACCTTCCAACATCATCCCTGACGGAATCCCCTGTTTCAAGTCCCCAGGGGAAATGAGATGGAAAAGTATGAGTGAAGAGGATAACAAGGGAGTCAAAGTGAAGTTGAAGTCATGTAAATCTAAACTTCCTGGAGCAAATAATGCTTGAATGAAATAAATCAAGGACTGTTTCCATTAATATAGACTCATGTTATGTTGTTAAACAAACTTATATAAAATAAGAAGAAATGGCCCTTTTATAATGAAGTTTATTAACGTCTAAAAGTCTGAACTTTCACAAACCTCGGGCCTGTGTCTTGGTGGGGTGCAAAAAATGCAGGAAGTCAAAATGCTTTGTTAGTGGTGTTAAAGTCGTCAAAAGGCAAACGCACAAACTGATACACGCGGCTTGTTTTGGAGATATAGATTTAAAAGTGTTTCATTTCTTAACTGAGAGAGACACACAGCGAGGGAGAGAGAGCCGAGTATGTAATAATAGTAATAGATTGCATTTATATAGTGCTTTATCCCATAGATCCCACGTATGTGAGTGTGTATGTGTGCGTGTGTGTGTGCGTATATGTGTGTGTGTCCGCATGTGTGTGTGCATGTGTGTGCGTGTGAATGTGTTTCTATTAAACAGATGTAAGTACCTAAACTATTCTCACAAAATGGTGCGCACAAACCACATAACAGCAACAAATCAGAGAGAGGGTCACAGAGCAAAACGAGTTCATCTAACTCAAGCAGCAAAATGGAGGTGTGTCGTGACTCCAAGAAATGAACCTGACCTGCCACATTTCTAAAAACTATACAGCCAATCACAATTTTCTATGACCTCTTCATTCAACAGGGGAAACATAGACCATCTACTTAGGTCATGGCCCAAAACTGTTATGAACCCAGACCTGACGTTTCCTTTGTATGTATGATATACTTTTTACAATTCGTATGCCTTTGTGTAAGGCTTTCTAAGACATGTCAAAAATATTACGGTCATGTGCGGTCAAAAAAATAATTCTACAGCCAAATTCAGATTTTAAAATATCTCAATAGCCCCTACAGTAAGATTTCAGCAGTAAAATATAACCAAAAACAAGTATTCGTGAAGTAGACAATTTTTTACAATCCACATGCTGTTAAAGAAAGACAAGTTATCTCAAGTGATTTCCTATAGTTTTAAGAAGTGTAGTCATCCGATTCCTGAGGAGGTTAGAGAAATACGTGGAACAAGCTTCTATTACCAATTTCCCAGCTACTTACAAGGTGTTTCTCCTCGGATATCACTGTTGAACAAATCCGAGACAAAATCGCTGAGCGAGGAGTAGGACGAGCTGGTACTCTCCGCCCCATCACTGTCGCTGCCGCTCTCGTCAGTCGGGTTGTCGTCGCTGTGCACCTCCGACACCGACGTGATGGCCGCCCCGAGGGAAGACGCATTGTCGTAGACGTGGAACTCCACCGGCTGCAGCTGCTGAGCGTACCACTTGGGCTTGTCGCCGATGAGGCTCGGGTCGTAAACGGCCGTCTGGACACGCTGGTACACCAGGTTGGTTGGGCACAGTGACCACTCGGACAGGTACTCCACAGCCTGACCAGAAAGTCAGTCACTCAGTAAGTGTAAATGTCTAACTAAACTCTCATCACAGTATGGTAATAAGGCATCATGTTACTTCTTTAATGACAAAGCCCCCTTTTCCTGAAGCCTGCCAAAATGAGGAAAATGTATACTGGTGTGACGCGTACTGCAAACTTCAAAGACAGCAGATCTTCTCTAGGAAGAAGACTAGAAATAGTAAGGTAAAGCCTGCCGACATATCATGGAGCATCGTGATTCTACAGTTTCCTATTCTCGTAAGACATAGTTACAACCCTACTATGATCCTTACAACAGTAACCCTGGGTGTTACACACTAGGTCAAGTAGGGGGGGCTATATATTTTACTTTTACCAAAAGACTCACCTGAGTGCGGGCAAGTTTGGCAGTGAACAATGTCCTCTCGCTGCGAGACTTGAGAAAGCTGTACAGCTGGAAGGCTACCACAGGCCTTGGGTACAGGCGCAGCGTGCGAGTGTGCTCCGTGAAGTTGCCCAGTGTGTTGGGAGAGTTGAAAAATCGCACCTGGACAATGGTAGGGAAAGTGGTCAATCCAGTTTTTTGCCTCAGCTGCATTCATGAGTAATAACATGACAAACGACAGTTTACACTACTGTACCTGTGAGAATATCAGAGCACCTGCTTAGCTATGTGGAACTGCAATTTTACAACATTTTGGTGTGAAGGCCTGAGTGGTTGGCTGGTGCTCTGGTGTAGTTTTTTCCTTTCCAATCAAATATCTATTGTACTTATCTTTCCTATTTCTTTTCTATGTATGTTTTCCTCTAGTAACACCTCTAATCTTTGGAACTTATTTTACCCGATTGTGTTGCAATTGCTATAAAACTCTTGAAGGCTTGTTTCAGTTTTGTTCTTTAACGAGTTTTACGTCCTACTAGATGATGACAGATTTTTGAAAAGGCAAGCCCTATGCTGACTAGACTGACCTTCAGTAGACACAACAGCATAAAGGAGCACTGGACAGAAGAAAGAGTTGTCGCCTTTGCACCAGAGAAATGGTTCTGTATGAGTGGCATCTCACTAGCAGGTAGGTTTATGCAAAGCTAGTCTCCCCCCCCCGGGTCAAAAGCCGACTCATTAAAAAAAATGTTTTATAGTAGAAGGTTTTACGGAGCTCGCAACTGCATAAAGCCGACTCAGGATGATGAAAACAAAGACAATGGATAAGATAAAACAAAGACGAGAGAGACAATACACTGTTTCAAAGGCATGTACCAACTGTATACCAAGTTCCTTCTTCCGCTAAAAAAATATATTTTTAAAATGCTGAAGAACTGCAGAAAGAAAAATTTGTCACTGATTGAATTTACATTATACATCCAGCATGTAATGAAAGACTTTTGCAATTCAGTTTCTACTCCCCCTCCACACCTTCATCAAGAAATCAGGGAACTTGTTCCTACATCTAACAAATTTAGCCAGAAGTCAAAAGTTATCAGGCTGTACTCAGGAAGTCACTTTGAATCAGATTTCCACGGTCTGACACTGTTAGATGAGGAAAAATTTTTAAACACCCTTGACTTCTCAAAGGTTTCAGCAACAGAACCTGAAAGAGATCAGCACTAATCACTCACCATCGCCACCCGAGTGGCCACATCTACAGAGTCGACATCGTTGCCGTAGATAAGAGGATTGAAGCCCGTCTGTGATGTGAAGCTGTCGCGACGCTGCCATAGTTCGGGGTTCTGTGCAAGAGCATCCAGGTTTTTGATTGGCTGAGGTGTCATGCTCATGCTAGCAAGAGCCTTTACCCACAGCGGGTGCGTGCATTGTGCACAAGTGGAAAGTGCCCGTCCGCGATTAATGGTAGGCAGGAAGTTAAAAGAAAAGGGAAAAAGGGGCAGGGTGGTGAAGGCAAAATGGAAAGTTAGTGCAAAGCAACCAATACCCAAGTCAAATCATGCAAATTAATAAGGCAAAAAAAGAAAAGTTAAAATATAAGGTTCAACAGAGAATAATATAAAACTGTAGCAATGTTCGTGGCAGTCTTGTGTCACACCACAAGAAGGTATCAACATGGCAAATGAGGAATCCCCCCCCAAAAAACCCTCAACAGCCCTCTTCTCTAGACTTCTATAAGACTCCTATATTCTCCAGCTATTTACAACAAGAACAGTCTTCTCTTTAAATCATTATAACCTTGTAGGTACACGAAACCCAAGACTTTTGTTTCCTTTTATTTTTCCTTTCTTTGTGTAAAGAATCAACAGAAGAAAGAAAACATTCTGGCAAAAAGCAAAAGCAAATAATCTTTTTTTAATTTAAAAATATTACAATACCTCATATAACAGGTCAAATCTCAAGTCCAAATTCCCAATTTCTATCAACTTAAGATGATTTTGAGTACTACAAGTGTTTGAAAAAAAATTTCTCCCACTTCTATTTCCTTTCTCAATCACAAAAATCTCAAACATGCTGGAGTCTGTACTGTAAACCACCTAAAAATGTACTACTCTGCCCGGCACTTCCTCATAAACACTTTTAAACCTGGCAGATAATAAATTGTTAACTTTTAAGAGTTTGAAGAAAAAAAAAACATTTACAGAAACTATGACAATCATTTTTTTTTCCAGGAAGGAAAACAAAATTTGCGGATTTCAGAAACAAAATTAAAATTCCACTTGTTCCAAAAACTGTGTAGAATAGAGAAATGATAAGTGCAAAAATAAAAAATGTGTATTTTTTTTTTACAAGGAGATTTTATTCTAAAATAAATGGTCAGCAGTAAGCCTTCTAAATTTTGAAAATTTTGATAGACGTCTGATGTTTGAATGCTTTACAAGTAAAGAATATCTTTGAAATAGTTAAAATGATATCATATATACGAAATTGCCAAGAGCATCAAGCACTTCATAAATGAAATCACATAAGATTCACTATTTTGCTGCACTTTGATGGTAATGCAAAATAAAACTACGATGCCAGAGGAAAAGCAAAATGCTAAAAAGTGCCACTATCAAGTTCTGGGAAACAAATTTACTAAAGCTATTGCAGCCAAGTAAAGCTTAAATGTTTGAAATCAAAAGGATGGTCTAAGCTCATAATCAATGTCCCAATTCCAAAAATAAATACATTATCGGTGAATTTTGCTAAACAAACAAAAAATTAAAAACTGAAAACATGTGTTTAAAATGTTTTTAAAGAAAAGAACCACTGGCATTTCAATATTTTATCAAGACCTTGAGAAATATGACAGTAATAGTTATAATTCCAAGTTACAAAATGTTATGTCTGCACGCCATTGATTGAGGAGTCTCAGTAAACATCAATTTGTCTCGTCAGCAGACAAGACATTTCATTGACTCATACACACCCCGTGATTAGCAAAAAAATTGCAATACTGCCAATACATTCAGTACGTGACTCTCACAGTAAATGTCAAAGCAGCAGATTTCAATCATGGCGATAACATCCTACACTTTAACCCTCTTCGCACCATAAATATTTCAGCAGGTCAGCACAGGTGAACCAAAATGGCAGAAAGCTGATGGCTTCCAGAACCAAATTATTTCAGTGTTTTCCAGAGGGTCAGGGGCGGTGGCACAGAAATTGCTTTTGCTTTTGATCTAAGTGACATACTTCAATGAAATTTCACTTATAAAGATCAAAGACGTCAGCATCTAAATCTAGAGTGGAAAGTTCTTATTTCTAAGCCAGCACTAAAGGGTGGGTGTCTCAGGCCGGTAAAAGCCAATATGGCAACATGACAGGACGGCCAGTTTAGGCCGGTATAGCTCCAAAAGGGTTAAAGGACCTGTGATACTTTTAACAACAAAAAGTCTACACATGTTTCTGAGCTTGATTCCTTAATTCCAATGACACGCACGTCACTCGCAGACTAAATGTCAGAGCAGATTTCAATCATGGGGATAAAACCGTACACTTTACAGGCCCTGTGGTATCTATAAATAAAAAACTCTACATATATTTCAGAACTTGATTCTATCACTCCAATGACACATGTCACTCTGCGGTGGGGTGGTCCGTATTTGAGATACATCTCATAGATTAGACATCACGGAGGAGAAAAAATTACCATGTATTGATAGAAACTATCATTGCACCATGACTCCCATTGTTTAATACTTTTTACCAATTATCTTTTGAGAGGATGCAGAAAAAAAACACAGGAGAGCTGGCTTCAAATTTTGTGAGTGAGAGAGGGAGAGGGATGGGGAAAGAGAGAACTTGTAAGTGAAAAGTAAAAGAAATGAATTTAGTGTTTGCATTTGCAGAATTTTAATGTCCTACTATACAAAGTCAAAATCATTTGGAGGCAAAGCATTTCGTCATTACAGCTGGCAGCAAATCAGTCAATATATCAGACTCTTCTTAAGCCATTAGAAAAACAAAAAAGTGATGATATTTGTGAGGTGGCCTGGGATAACACACACTGATTGTGTGGTGGTTAACATACTAATGCACAGCCTTTAACTGAGACACTGCTCAAAACCATACAACACCAGCTTGGTTAAAAGTGAATCCACATCATAATCATTTTTTTGCTTTGCTTTGGTCTCCATTTCATTATATGATAATTGTAATAAAGAAATGCCAAAATTTTGCAGAAATGTTCTTTTCAAGCTTTTTTTTTCAGAGGTACTCTTCAACAGATGTGACCTGAGAAATCAGTGAAAATCTGCTTCCTCCATCTCACCGAAAAAAAGAATGGAGTTTGAGGAAGTTGTAGCAGTTTTCAATCTTAAAATTGTTTCATTGTATCCGGACACCACACATATGAGAAAATGAGTTTTTTTGATCGAGCAACTGGTCAGACTGGTCAGCCTAATTGTATTCTAGCATTCGGAAAGGAAGAAACAAAACAATATTTTTTTTGAATATTAGAAACTTTTGAAGTACTTATCAGGCAACCACCTAGATACATGCTGTTAGATTAGTCAGTCTAACTCTAGAAAGAGATTCAAAAAAGATATTATGACCTGCCACTAAAAAAGCTATTGAGTGTTAACAGATATTTTAGGGAAGAGGGGCCATCCAAAAGGCCCGAGGCTGGGCTTTTCATACAGACATTCTTTAAAAATTATACTTCTTTCCCTGTAAATGAACTTTTGTAGACATCACAGAACAAAAACACAAAATACTGTAGATTATCAGTGAGTACCATCAATCATCAGTTACACTACAGCAAGTGCTTAAGGAAAATTGAAAAAAAAACCCCAAAAAACAGTAGCTTTTGGTCATATTGACAGAGATCTGTGATCTAACTAGATCACATCATTGGAAGAGTTTTATCAGCAAAAAATCTACTCAGAATCAAAGCACGTAGATTGCGAAAGTAAAGATAATTACTTCACCTGAAAGGGCAAAGAATATCAAAATACATGGAGCTGGGTAAATTTCCCTTTCGGAGCATCTCACTCAACCTAGAAGTCACAATGTTTCCCTCAACAGAGGGAAATTAACAATGTGTCTGAATATCAAATCTTTTCCAACGATAAAAGAATCTCCATGATAGTGTCATAATTAATTATAGAACAGACTTGAGAATGTTGCTAGCATAACTGTGGAGGATACATTCGAAAAAAACAGACACATGTTCACTTACATAAGGAAACCATTATACCAGCTTGAACTCATTCTACCAAAACCAATGCTCCTACACAAGTGGGCTGTGGCTTAACCTTTAGAGCCCGTAGCACCGGTACACCAGTGGCTCACTTTGGCAACAATAATCCATAGCACAAGTTTACCGTCGTGAGGAAAAAATGCTGATTTTTCAGGAAGAAGGCTGTAATTTCCGAACAATCAGAACACTAGATTCTGTCAACATGCTAATATGGGATACCAACATGTTCGCACCCTTTCACACATGTTTTGATCAAGTTCAGAGCTGGGTTTTTTCACGGTGAAGGACTGTCTCCCTGAACCCTGGTAACTTGGGATGCCAGAATTTAGACTAAATTAGGATCAGGAGCCCAGGGCTCAACGGGTTCAGGGTGTGCTCAGATACAAGAATCTAATGGGTCAGCAAATCAGTAATTCAGATTGTGTTTTCATTTATTCACCTTTCAACATATTAAGAAGTAAGGTCTGAGATCTATTTTTTTAAAAACATTCAGGTGGGTCTTGTGTAGTGAATTTTGAGAACCCATGCCTTAAAAGATGCGCACATGAACACCTCGGCAAACAACAGTAAGTAAAGAAATTTGGAAAACTTTGAGCAAATCATGAAGACTAAAAGAGTTAATCCCAAGCCTTTCACATGACAAGTTTGCTTCCCATTCTACAGGGTTAGAAAAGGTTCCACAAAAAAATCCATCATTTACCTTGTGCTCACAAACTTTCTGAAGTTGGAAACAACATAAAAACAAGTTGAGAAATTAAAGTTAATGGGCATAAAATGCATATAAATACCTGAACACAACAAACACAAAACACATAAGCATTCACATATATGCTTGAACACAAACACTGTCTGATAAGCAGCACCAACTCAATAAAAACAATCTATATTTTAGCTGAAAAAAAATTCTTCTAACAGTTCAAGTGAAAGTGACTTCCTCATCAGAAATATTGTAGACGTGTCAAGGATTAAGGTGCAAAAGCAAACACATCTCATCACAAAAAAGTTAGAGAAAATTGTAACATGGAAAAGAAAAAGGAACAGACAGCACAAGAATGTAAACTAACCATCTGCTCCAGAAGAACAGTTAGTGTAAAAACTACATGGTTGCGTTTAAGCATAAGGGGGCTATCCCGAAAAATGCAGTTGTGAGAAAATCGAGGGTAAAATTTTTGCCCCTTGTTCAGTTTCTATGAAAGTCAAGGAGAGTTTTCTCTATCATCAAACAAATATACACACCAATGAAATCAGACTTCTCCTATACGTAGAACAATGCCCACTTTTGGTGAAGGTCAAGATTTCTGGAAACCCCCAAAATCAGGGACAGCCCGCTTGTCTTTAAAAGCCACCGCATAATGCAATAAGTATTCATCTATCGGTTGAAACGTGTTACATGGAAGCTTGCGCCGCAGGATGAAATTTAAAAAATTCAAAGAACAGGTGCAAAGTCTGTGTATCCGAACACAGTTACAGTACAGCACATATGAAAAATGTGCAACTTCTTGGTAACTTCCAAGATTTTCAACAACGACAGCAACATGAGGAGATAAATGCAGTTGAGTAGAAATGTAAATCAACATATCTATCTACAAAAAAGACGCACAAGAAAAGTTGTTGAGAAGTGGAAAATGACAGAAAGAGAGATACAAGGCTATAAACTATCACTTCAATTTCAGTCTGTACAGAGTGATTCAAAATTACTTTAACTTTCTATGACACATACATTATTTTATTTCTAACCTCAACCAGTATATTGTTATTGATTATTACAAACAATAACATTCTGCCACTCAATTTCTAGGGGGAAAAAACCCCAAAGCAGCATTGTACAAAAACATTCTTAAAAAAAAAATAGCTAAGCTAGTAATATGTGCAAAGCGCAGTGCTAGATGTGAGTGAAATCTCAAAACTTTTCAAATTCATGTATACACAAGTGTGTGTGTATGTGTGTGTGTCTGTGTGCGTGTGCACATGAGTGTGTGTGTGTGTGTGTGTGTGAGTGAGTGTGCGTATGTGAGTGAGTGTGCGTATGTGTGTGTTCAAGTATGTGTACGTGTTGGTGTGTGTGCGACTTGTTGAATAACAATATCGAGCATGTTATTATAACAGACCAGTAATATTTCAGAGATTTGAGTTCTATAGGTTCCCCCTTCCTCCCCCCAACACACACACACACACACACACACACACACACACACACACACACACACACACACACACACACACACACACATATATACATACACAAATACAATAACTTCCGAAATCATAAACTAGCTAAAGACCTTAAACTGAAAAACTTATTTGAGCAAAAAAACATTCAACCCTTTACCAACTCTGCCTTAGATGCTCTGCAAGACAGTTCACTAGAAACAGGAAATCATTTCTTGTCAGTTTCTAAGTGTTTGAGTGCTTAATAAGCTGCTTGCACTGCATGCTTCCAGGGAAGACAAGAATGCTTCAGTGTTCTTGGGTCTGCCAGGGTACTAATATAGATTGTAAAGAGCACAGACCATGCTGAAGAAGGGGGATATGCGCTATACAAATCATGCTATTTTATTATTTTCATTATCATTTATCAACCGAGTAATGGGTTTTTTAAAAAAAACAAATACGGATTTTAAGACAAGCACTACCACACGATATTAATTGGCTATGTGATTGTAAAAAGGACAACAAACAGAAATATTCTGGCAGTTGAAAGGAAGTGCGACCTACCAACTTTCAATCATCTTCTCGTGAAATCTATCAGGAGCTGGTTACAACCCATAATAGTTTTCACAGTACTGTCACACACATGTTTAAATAGGACTCAAATTGTGACACAAAGACAAGAAGTAAGGAATATTAGAGAGCTACGACATCCACATATATGTGAAAAAGCATCACCCCTAAACATTCTACGCTCACCTGTTTCAGATGCGTCTTGAGAGCTGTCCCTTCTGGTTCGGGTAGGGGAGGTAACGTCTCAGCAGCGGGCGGGGCAATGATCTGGAGGAAACAACAAACAAAAAATTCCTGACATTCCTGAACAGACTCCACTGATCATACAAGAAAACCTGAGTTTTTTAAATGTGACATTTCCCAGAGGTAAGTGTTCGTGTCTTACAAAAAGAAGAGGACATTGTGACATCAGCACTGCCGTAAGCTGACAAAACGCCTTTTATCAATTTTGACTCCAAATTTTTTCATTCACTAAATCAATAGCCTGATCAATTACCCTACTTGTGCGAAAAAATCAAAGTGAAACTATGACTAGTTCTTGAATAAATCAAAAATTCAAATTTTGGAAACACTCCATTTTTAAATGGTTATGCTGACAAAAAAACAACAACTCTTTTTCTCTAAACTGCTGTGAATTTTTAAAAAGGCATATGTCAGCTTATGGAAGAGCAGCTAATAACAGATAGTTGACACCTCTAAATACAGTTAAATCTGCTCAAATAGCCAGCTGTCCAAGACAATTACCTGTACAAACACCCACTTTTCACTTACTCTTATCGCATTTTTTTTTTTAACATTATAATGATACTGTCAAAGACATTCACCAGTCAAAAGGCATTAAATTTACTTGACAATGTACGAATAAAAAGCCAGAACCTACAAAGACCTGAACTAAATTCCAACTGGCAAATGATTCAACTTTTTTTAACAATATCAAAACACGTACCCTCCGTCCCCCCCACCTACAAACACACACACAAACGCAAACACACAATATACCTTGTTTCCATCCAAGTCTACCAGCCAGATGTCGTCAGGCAGAGGGAAATCTTTCTTGTAGCCAAAGAAACTGGCTGGGACCCCAATTAGGTACGGAGTGGGTGCCAGAAGTAACTGCAAGTACAAGTACGCAGTAGGGCAGCATAAATGTAAAGAAAAACGTTACATACAGGAGGATGGACAGCATAAAAATTCCAATAACGACGAAGAAGAGAGCAATTTTTGAAATTCATTGTTCACTTTCATGCAACATTTGAGATTCTCCAAACACACTTTCCTAGTTCCTACCCTGCAAATAAGTTACAAAAATGAGACAAGAAACAAAATACGAAAATCAAGAGTTCTCAATTTGAGCGCTATTTCAAAGCCTCTCACAAGTAATTTGAAGTAAGTCTTACATCTTAAATGCACACCATTATACAAACCAGACAGCAGTGCACTTGTTATAATAGCCAAGGGAACAAGATAAATCTTTATTATAAAAAAACAAAAACAATAAACAGTAAAGTACAATATTTTCAAAAACATGAGAGCAAGGACATGGTGGGCTGGATAAAAATGTTGGTTAGGAAACAATGACGCGCAGGCCGAAGGGCTCGAACCCAGATGGGCGCTGGATCGGAAAAGTAAAAGTAAAGAAGCAATGACGCACCTGTTCTGCAGATGCCATGCAGGTGGGCAGGAGTGGGATGACCGGGAACATGTACTCCAGAGGGTACAGCATGGACACAAAGGCCATCACAGACATGGACAGGGCATTGTAGTCACGCGACTGCAGGATCACCTACACAAAGACAGGACATATGGAAAGAGGATGAGAAAAGAAGTGATGACGTTTTAACATTTTATACATTATACTTCATCTCCATCTCCCCCCCCCCTCCTGTGAGAAAACAGAGAGAGACAATAAATTATATACAACCCCCTCCCTCCCCCACATGAAGGTATGATAAATAAAGAGATACACAACAATCAATAATAATAAACAACATATTTTTATATGGATTTTTAAAAAACACATTTTGGACAAAGTAATGTTCCTGTAAAGTCAATTCTCAATTCAATTTTTTCCGTTGTTCTTTAAAAATACATTTCTTTCAAATCCAGTCTCAACCACTTGTAAAAGAATTCAAAACTGCTGTCTAGATATATCTTTATCACCGTTTGTTTCCTGTCAATTTACAGAGTCAATTTGTACCAAATACTTTCACCAGCACTCCTATTAACGATGCTACAGCCTTTTCAACACCCAAACATTACATTTTCATCTTACATGCAACCCATTATGATGTCGCCCTGCCACAATCTGTTCTTTTTTTGTGTGTGTGTGTGTGTGTGTGTGTGTGTGTGTGTGAGTGTGTGTGTGTGTCCCTTTCCTCTTTTCACCCTTTTCAAGCAGATATTCATCCCCTCTCCCATCTATCTGGATGTCCCTGTGTACTGCAACATAACACAACATGTACGAAAATTAACCCCCAAAAAAAGGTAATACATAAAAAGTGATGGGCACACAACGGAATACAAATATTTACTGTTTTAAAAGCAGGTAGCCCTTGCCATACCCTACGATAATGTATGCATAACCAGGACCAATTGTCACAATAAACAGTTACATGTTCACAGCACTCATATGATCTTATGCAGTTGCGAACACCGTAAAACTTTTATCAAAGTGAAAACCGAGATGCGAACTGGCTATTAAGAAAAATTAAGAACGTTTCGGCGGCAAGGAAAGATACGTGTAGGAACTCAAAATTTACAGATCATAATAATAATATTGTCTAATACACATGTGGGCACATTGATTCGAAGCTTTTTTTATATAAAGTGTGATATGTGTATTGTGTACGGGTTTACAGATTTATCCAGAAAATCAGCATCTCTGTAGTGTTGCACCCACCTTATGCTCCAACATAATGGCTGTCAGGGCTTTGAGACAGGTCTCCACCCCAAGCAGCTCCAGAGGCAGGTGAAGAGGGAAGTCCACCAGACTGAACCGCGTGTTGTCTGGCAGGGCAAACATCAATGGAGGCTGCAGCTCTTTCGGTAGAACATGCACCTGAGGGCAACAGGAACACAGACAGTAAGTCGATAAGTCGAGGGCCAGAGGCTTATTTTACCCCTGATTCAGTACAACAATAGCAGTATTCAAGAAGCCAAATGTCAAAGGCAACATCTGCGTCTAATAGGTGACAAAGGGCAGTCAAATCAGAGTGCCACAGATAGCAGAAGCGGCTGCCAGAGACCTGTGAAACAATAATGTTTCAGAATTTCAGCATAGGACCAGGATGGGGAGCTTTTTATTCACTTTTACTCAAATTATGTAGACCCACTTTATCCATCCTGAAACAGGTTTTTAAAGCATTTAAAAAAAATTAAAATAAACAGCCTCCTGTGATGAAAAGGGAAATGATTGCTTTGCTGTGTATCCCCTTTGATATAATTTAGATCATTTAACAAGTGGGCAAATTGAATCCTGCTTGTCAGGGCCAACCCCAGCTGTGCAGTCTATATATTCCCCAGCATCAAGACGTCGACACTCGATAAAATATCATCCCTACGTGGGAAACAAGCTCACAGATCTCTTGCAGGCAAAGCAAACTCCCTATCCTTCTCTCTACAGATGTTGGCCAAATACAGAAGAAGCATTTTAGAATTTTCAAGACAGAAAACCAGGAGGCTATCACGAGCAATTTAATCACAGGGGGTAAGAAAACCACTCCTAAAAGACAAGAGAATGTACTCAAAACAACTCAAAGGAAACTGAGGAAAACAGGAAGTCATTGCCCTCTAAAACATCCCCATCAAATTCATCATTTTGAGCAGGGAATGCATGACCTAAATCCATAATGCAATAACTGTTATTATAACAGTAGACACATAAATCAAACACGCTTGGAAGATGCATTATGTGAGAGCACCACTTGGAAAGAGCGACAATCAGCAGAAGGCACACTTTTAGCAAAAGGTTTTATCCTGCATAAATGACAACAGGTTGTAGAACTAGTTAAAAATAATTCATGCTTTCTTCTTTCAAGATCTGCCATGGAAATTCAAACATTAGCCGTTGTCTCACTTTGACGTCGGTTGCACCAACATCGTGCTAATGAAACTTGGGTTAAGCTAAAAAAAAAAGGTATATCCATTGTATAGTTCTTAGAAACCTTTGCAAAAATGCCAGGCAGTAAATATTTTTGTTGCGAAAACTGGGGAAAACACACTGCTCAAACTTTCAATAGGAGAATCATTGGAGTCTATATTATCCTATTGTATCAGACGTACACTTGCTGGCGTCCTAAAATCAACAGTTTGTTTGAGTAAAGAGAAGCACGTGGACACAATGACGGTCATTTAGTGCTGGGAAAAAGGTAAGACAGAAAGACAAAAACAACTGAGGGAAAGTAAAGAAGTAGGAACTACCAGTCATGGCGCCCTCTAATCGCCCGCATTATGTCAATAGAAACAAGAAGAAAGATCACAAGTAGACACTGCTTACCAGCAGATGCACGTGTATGACATTCAGTGCTACTGTACATTGTATCAGTCTTCTTTTCTTACTCCTTCCATCTTCCCTGCAGCATTCCTTCTTTCTCGCTCCAATCGCCCTTCTACTTCACCCCAACGATCAGTCCCAGTGTTCCGCCTTCGAATTGATCTATCCATGTCTAAAAAGTCAATTCAAACGCATATGCGCGCGCGAACGCACGCATACACACACACACACACACACACACACACACACACACACAGCGCACGCACAAGCACGCCCGCCCGCACACAAATATACAATAAATATGCATAAATGTTCAGATGGATACGTATGGCTTTCTATATTACTGTACACTGAATCTGCGTTCTTTTCTTATTTTTTTCCTTCTTCTTCACTCCAACCATTGGTTCAAGTGTTCTCAGGTTCTGCATTCGAATTGATCTACCTAAGTCTACAAAGCCCAGGTCAAACTCATACACACCACCCCAACCCATCACCTTTCTACACACACACACACACACATGCACACACACATGCACACACACACAAACACACACACACACACACACACACACACACAGCACGCACACATACACACATATGCTTTTATTTATATATA